CGTCTTTTGCCCCAACGGGGACTGAAGGGCACGTGACTTGCGTACGTGCCCGCCTAGACGTTAAATAGACACACACACACACACTAGATCTATCTACTTGATATACGAATTCTATATCGCGAGAGGAGGAGAGAAGTTATATTATTTATAATCGATAGCGCTTAAAAGACGTAAAGGAAGAGTTCGTATAGGAGTAAATTCGACGCAACGACGTAGACCTAGTAGACTTAGCTCGGAGGATTTAGACTAGAGTCTATATTATCCCCTATTACGTAGGGGAGGTTTTATTATTATACTATTATCTCTAGTAGTAAAACTCTAGTTAATTACTATACTCAGGGGCTAACCCTAAGTACCTAGACTAATAGATATAGGCGTTAATACCAGAGAGTCTATATCTACTACCCTTTTGTTCTTAGCTTTCTTGTTCCTTATAGAGAAGTCTAAAAGTAACTAAGCTAGTATAATACTCGAAAGAGCTTGTCCTTTTATAATATCTATCGCCTACCTTAAAAGGTATTCTTAAAGGATCTTATAGTAGATTTTATTGTCTAGTTTCTTATAATAGGATCTATAGATATTAGAGTATATTTAATATTTATATCGAAAGGCCTTCTAGATATCCTTCTTATATGTAGTTCGACCTATAGTAGCTTGTGCTTCTAACGCTAAATCGTTAAGTTATCGTCTTATTGTACTTGTTAATCCCCTGTTCTCCTCCTTTCTTATCTACCGGACTCTCTCCTTCTTCTCCTAGTTCTTCCGCTCCTTACGAATTTTTCGCTTAAGGCTTCTCCGATTTCTCGTGACATAATCCTTGAAAAGAATGGAAGTAACGAAACAGCATTGAGCATCGCAATTCAAGAAGGAAATCTTGGCATTTTACACCTTCTCATAAGTTACGAGGCGGACGTGAAGTATGTTGATGAAGACGGGAGAAAGTGGGCGACTCTGGAGGAGCTAAGCCACGACATTACTGCTACAGGAAAACTTCTGTCGACCGAAGAAAGAATGAGAAACACAAAGAATCGGGTCGAGATCTCGAATTGGGGAGCTCGGCACGGAATCAAGCTTTTGGTGGAGAACTCGATCGATCTCGAATCTCGAGAGAAGGCTGGAGGCCGGGCCTCGAATTTGGCAGCTCAAGCTTTGAAATGGGCAGCCACTGGAGGGGAAGAAGCAATTATCGAAATGCTTTTTGGGAAATGCTTGCCGGATGATGCAACGTCTTTCGCAGAAGAGTTGATGAAACTGGCACCAGAAGCAATACAGAGAGCTGCGAGGAATGGCCATGAGCGCGTAGTGCAAAAGATAATACGATGGCTGATCGAGAATGATGAGGACTATTCCCGCGGCGAGCAACCACTCGAGAATTAAACATGGACACCGCTTCATTGTGCCGTAAATTACAAACCCCACCGAGACCTTAAAATGGACGAGCTGGAGTCCCTGGACATTATTCGGAACATGATCATGAGAGGTTCCAGTCCATACCCCCAAACTGGTCAGGGGCCGTCAGCCATCAAGTTGGCGGATGATCTTAGAACAAAATCCGAAAATCCTGAAAGTTCTCTTTACGAGAAGATTCTTAATCTTCTAGAGTCACCTCTAAGAGCAAAACGAAAACCACTACAGCTCGTGGATCCATCTCTCGGACAGCCCAGCGGACATGATAGTGTATGCACAAAGTTTCATACCAACATCGTTGATTTTTACACCTCGGGCGAGGATTTCTGTACCTTGGAAAGAAAAAGTCCTGTCAACCACATAATCTACGAAAAGGAAGGGGGTCCGGCCAAGGTGATGAAGAACGCAATGCAAAGATGGGAGCTCGGTAGCATTGGACTCAAACACCGCTTCCGGTAGATCCATCTTCCAGCGAATAACGTGAGTGAGCCTTCTCCAGCCTCTCCTCTCAAACAACTGAATTTGACATATCCGGAATGGAACCATTGAACTTCCAGCCTACCCAGGCAATTAATACATTCACTTACGTAATATTACTCCTACGATGTGAACGGTCGCACGGAAAACCTTCGGGAGATTTTCATTATATTGCTTCAGAAGTGCAAAAAATACTGGAAGCCTGTGATTCTGAACATTTTAAATGCTCTCATTTAATGATGTTTTACCTTTTTAGTGAAAGAAAACGAGCTTAGCCATGGACGAAATTCGATTATATAAGCAGAGCATCAGCTGGAAATATTATTATCGTCTATTGAGGCCGCTTGAAGTACAAGTAGTACCATTGCAGTCTCCCTTGAAGTTCTTAAATTGCATAAACAGAGCTAACAAATCATGCACAGCTGATATGGGCAAAGGTAGAACCAATAGAGTTTCTTTGTGAAAACCTTTTTAACAATCTTACAGGACTTGATGACTAGATTTGCTTTCGAGTCAAGATTCTCGGCTATGAAGTACACGGAAATGCATGATTTTGTGGACCTTAATAGTCGTGAGCATAAGGGGAAACCACAGTGCAGATTTATGTACCCAGCACTGATGGTAAGTTATCTATAAGCCTGAATTCAAACTCCGGATTGAACTGACCATGCACCACAAGTTCGAAAGCAATGCGTTCCATTCAGGGGAGGGAGCCAACATTCCCAGGCTTCGTGCTGAAGCGAAGGAGAACAAGAGGAAAGAAAAGCCAAGAAGGTATGCTACTTTCATCTATGCTAATCTTGTTGTTCCGCGTTGTCTCAATCTAAATCGTATAGCAAACCCCCCGTAGCACTTGAGACAGCAGATCCATCCAGGATTCTGGTAGAACGCATAAACCAGGTTACCACCGATTCCATTCATATCAAGTTTGACAAAGAGAAAGAAACTTCTCAATTCAGTACCCAATCTGGAGTTCCAGAACAAAACCCAATGTCCGCTTCGAAGCCCGAGACAAAGATTGTGAAGTCAATTTCTCATACAGATAAAAGAATCCCGCCCGACGAAAAGAATTCGCAGAAGTCAGCCGAGCTTCAAAGGAGCATGGAGGATAAGGCAGACGACAAGATGGATGATAAGACAAAATCGGCTGAGAAGAAGACTATTTCTCATTTGCAAGGTTCAAAATTGTTACTATCCATAAGAAGCCATCGAACCCACTCCACCAATCACGTGTGTTCTTACTCACACAACCAGATACCTTTTCTCTCATTTCAAACCGTGAAGAGTCACAGAGCTTTACGACAATCCATTCGGCTTGCTGGAGTGGTTGAAACCTTCAAGAGAGTCGCTCCCAGCGTCCTCAATGAAGAAAAAGAAGCCGAGATTAGAACACAAGCCCGCTATCACATTCTTCAACAAGAAATATACGAAGGACTCATACTTCTACATGAATATGGCAGTTTGTTTTTCGATCAACTGAACGGTATCACTTAGATGACAGTAGTAGAAAAGATGAGAGAGCCAGTTGAAAATAGTTGGCTGCATTCTCTGAAAGAACTCCATCGTAAAAGGAGAAGCTCAGTATCTGGATCGCCCGGTGGTCTTGAATGGCTTGAAAGATTTCTGGACGCCATAGAAATTGTGTTAAGGCGAGAAGACGATAGCAGCACCGACCATTATTTGCGCAAACAGGAGTCGCTGATGGAGTATTATATTAAGCCTAACGATGAAGAGGGTCTCCATGCCTCTCGAACTTTGGATCAACACTACTACTCCGCGATTGCGGATACGAGTCGAAGGGATGTTGATCAAGTTGCGAGGAGGTATCAAGCTCGGAGGGTTGCAGAAAGATCGCAGGAAACAAGCAAAGCGAGAATGAAAAGCTTGTCTCTTCATGATCGAGTTATGAAGATAAGAGAAACCCAGAACTTCCTGGAGAAGCATATGAAGAAGAATAAAACTCCACTCCATGGTAGCAGGGTGAATGACGATATAGGATGGGAAGATGACCCTGGAGCCAAGATTGCGATGGTAGACCAACTCTGGCTTTGGATCGTCGACGATGCAAAGGCCCGCCGATACTGATATCTTACAGAAACTGTAATTTCTTGTTTTCCTCGTGGTTGGGATTCGGAAACAAAAGATGGCGGTCGGATGGATTTGCTCGAGAAAATTCGCAACCATATTCATAACGAATCAAGGCCCTCAATATCGAGTGTTTACCACCTGGCAATAATAATTACAAGTTTCTGTATATCGTATATTGAGGACTGCAAAGCGGATATAGAAGCCTGTCAAGACTCATTTTTTCATATGTTTGCAGGTTCCATTGGAATAGTGGTAAGCTAGCCTGTCCTTTTACTAATTACATAAAAAGTCTATCTACAAATACTGACTCCTTTGTTTGATAGGCTGACGAAGAGGTGAAATGTTTCGAGACTTTCAAAGCAGACCTCGACAAGAGTCGAAGAAGCTACAATGCGGACAACGACATTATTAAACCAGAACTCGACATCATAAAGGAAATTACTTTGCTCGAAGAAGTGAAAGATATTAGGGACGAACTTAATATCCTGAGGAGTATTCTAGGTGAACAAAAGTCGTTGCTAAACAGGTTGCTAGATTTAGTTGCAGGACGACAAGTAGGGGACAAAAAGGCCGTTGAGACGGATCCTGTGCTTAACTACTATTCCGAGAGGAGCGATATCAATATGAGAATTAAGAAAGTGAAGAAGATGGATGCGGATGCGGCTACAACTTATGCCTCTGTAGGATTTCCCATGTGTATTCAGCAACAAACCCCTGCTGACATGTATAGATCAACCACCTTCTCGATTTGAAACAAAAACATGCCAACCTCTCCGAGGCCTCTCAGTGAGTTTTGGCTATCTCAGGTAGCTTTGAGGGTACGCTAACAATATTTTCAGGGCTAGAGAACAGGCAGAACAGACCACTAAGCAGGGAAGAACTATAATGGTGTTCACAACTGTTACCATTATTTTCGTGAGCCCATTTTACAACTTTTGATAAGATACTGACCTTTAAATCTTGCCTTAGTTACCACTATCCTTTTTCACGTCGCTCTATGCTTTAAATATAGAGCCGTTCGCACACATTGTTGATGGTGATGATTGGATATACAAAGACAACTGGATATTTCCCCGCATATGTAAACTACTTTCAGAGACTCTCAATCGCAAAGAAAGCTACTGACATAAGTCCTAGTTGGGACATCTGCTGCCATTGGTGTGCCGATGATTTGGTTGGCGATCTATATCAATACATTTTTGGACATATACAAAAGACATGTTAAACCTATTTACAGCAGGGAATGGTGGACCAAACGCCAAAAACAATTCGCATCTTTTTTCGAAAGAAAATCCTCACATATAGGGGTTTCAGAATTACCTCTTACATCTCGAATGCGAATAACTACAATAATTATGGGAGATTTCCCCCTTTAAGGATAATGCCAAAAAAGCAGAAAAGTGCTACCAAATCATCTAATGATTATCTGAACTCGAATTAACTTTTTCATCACATGATTCACCCCCCTTTGACAACTTTTAGTTCTTTCTCTACAAAACTGATGGCTTCGTACGCTCGCATCGGATGGGTCTGAAATAAATCCGAATTCGGTTTTATGCCTGGTACCTCGTATGTCAGTCTGCCGCAAGCCGCTTTGACGTTTCGAGGTCTCACAACATCTGCTGCCACTCTTCCGGCTTGCTACACAACATTGAAGTGCCGGGGTTTTGGTCAGGTACTCAATCTAAAACCGGGGAATTCAATATGAACTCGCCGATCTACCCCGCAATCTATATCAGTGTGTTCTCCTTCCGTATCTGGTTTGGGGCGCTTAGTGTTGTTGCACGTGTGTAATGACAGGAATGACTTTCTTTTTTCAGTATGATATGTAGTTGATTCAAATATTCTAAATTAAATTCTTACTCATGAGACTTCTCAGATCAAATGACCCTGCTCGTAGACCAATTTCTAGGAGCTTTTGTCGTAGAATGAATAAAGCAGCCGCCTATGAGGGGGAAAAACGTCGCTCTTCCAAAAGTAATGAAGTAGGAATTTGAATAGCACCTCACGATATCTGTTTTCGACGGTTATGCGTGAGATTCTGAAAATATGATAAAGAGATAGAACGATAAGATTGGCTTATATTAGGTGACTGCCTGTTTTAAACTGAGGCTTGAAGATGAAAATACTGGCAATATCGGATCATTCAACTCGTAACCCTACGATGCACGACAGAGAGGCACAGCAATGTAGGATTACAAGACCGAATGCAGTCTATGGTCGGCGGCTTGTCGCATGTGCTACAACAGAGGTGATCTTCAAATACGACAGTCCAGACTTCGAATTGGGGGCCTAGAAGTCGAATGGAGTCCGGAAGTCTTCCGGTATTATGTCCTATCATAGTGGTTTTCACCTTGATCCAGTAACCTCAAAGGTGGCTTATATGTCCGTGGAGCGGCTCGTATTTATTGCTTACAGCCACAAAATTCACTGATAAGCGGAATTTTGCATGGCTGACGCCAAGATTGTCCATTGGTTATTCGAAATTTGAGTTCCAATTCCTATTACACCGTTCTTCAGCAGTGGGCCCAAGAAACTCGGTGTTTAGTGAAATGCTCAGTGAAAATCTTAGAGTGGCTTATTGGTTGTTATCGGTAGATACCCACTGGACACTGCTCCTCGCTTGTATCGCTTCGCCGCAACATAACTTCAAGCCACCAAATGTTGCTCTGTGCCATCCAATGGTTGCCTCTAGGCCTCCCATTTTCTGTTAGAAATTCCCTCTTTAATGGAGTGATCATTTCGACAGCACTATTTGGCGAGATATCCAATATTCTGCGGTTCAAAAGTACCACAGCCTGCAGTTCTTCTACTTTCACTACGGCCTACTTCGTCACCAAGGGTTCAAGCGTGGGTCATTAGTGTCTCGAAAGCTGAGACATGTTAAGGACGTTGAAGGTCTTGATGGCGGTCGTTACTTCTTCCCCGCAACCTGAGCATTCTCACTCATACGAGACGAGACTAGAAGTCGCTCCTTAATATGAAATTTACATTGTGCGAGACCACCCACTAAGCTGCAACTTCCTAATGTAAAAATAAGAACGAACTTGGAAGGCACGATCTGTCGTCCCCTGCTACCCTAGCGATTTTCCATTGAATAGTCAGGCGCGAAAGACTGTGAATAAAACTGAAAAATGAAGTGCATCTTGCAGCTGTGAGGCTAAGAAAGTTAAGTCCTTTCTGCCAGTTTGAGTAGCTGATCAAGGCCTAGATTATACCAAAGGGGTTTGTAAAGCCTCCCTAGAGAATGATCAATGGCGCAGAGGAAAATTATTGCGGATTTGGAATAGCAACTGTAATTCGGGGACCGAATGAAGGACAGATAGAGTATGCTTAATTGGATAGTGTACGGACATACAGAATGTCAATGTTTAATTCTCGTAAGGTCTCACGTTATGATGGGGTGGAGGTAGAAGCTCCTCTGGGAACTTAAGCACATCAAGGCCTCAATGCCGCATTACTCAGAAAATACCACAGGTAAGAAGACATGGTCAACATTACAGAGAAGTGGAATGAAAGCTGAATCTTGTGAGATAAAAGAAAAAGACCCAATACATATCCAGGCACGATTACACTTGCTTGCATAATGGTACTCACCTTTCCCATTCCTACTTCCCAAAGCCAATTAATACCTTCTCTAGTAGTAATACACAATAGATTCCGCCTGGGTATGGTCTCGCCATCTATTTCCATTTCCAAATTTCACCGATGGTCCTAGTCGGATGATCGCTTTCAGGCAACCACGTTCCAATTCACAATTGTACCCAAGAGTAAAGTCTTTTTAAGTCCCCCGCACAAGTGAGATTGGAAGGCTGAAAATATCCGAGTTAAGGAACCCATCTACGCGGAAATCAGCAGCTGCATTGATCCTTCCCTACGCAAGAGAATTCTTTGGCGCATATCAGCTCAGACTTCCGTCAAGTGTATTTTCAAGTTTCCTTATATAAGTAGTGTTCTGCCAATTATTTTCACGTAAGTACGTGCCCCTTAACTCCGGATCACACAAACCTCGCTTCGTGATACAACCATACTTGTTTTCTCCTATCAAGAATGTCAATGCTCTCACAATGAAGTTGCAAAATCTTCCAGCCTTACTTTGTGCCATGCTTGGTATCACCATTGCCTTTCCAGTAGTCATCTGTAGGCCCCAAAACTAAAACTGTAGAGTTTCGAATCCGGCTAATAGAAATAAACAATAGCATATTTGGACATGAGGGCTATTGATGATTCAGTTACCACTCCGAGTTGTAGCGATGATTTTCACGAAGGATGCTGAAAATGTTTCCTTTGCGGTGTACGTCACTGTTTCACCCTATCATATACCAAACGAAGCCTTCGGAAATATACCCCACGGTTGACGACCTTGCCATTCAAGAACGTCGAATACAGGTTACACAAGAAAACAAGGTTTACGCTTTGACTGTTGGTGTAGATCAGATTGTGGCACGCAGTGAGGAAGCGGGTGGGATGAGCTGCATCATGGACTCTATTTTTGGCATTCTAACTGTCCGATCACAGCATCTCTGTGGGGGCAAAAACGAGTTTTGCGACTGGCTAATCTTGGATACTTTGTTCAAAGAATTACCGATTCAAAACTCAATTGAAGCCTTTCTAAGGCCCACCAAACCCAAGATCCAATGCCGTCTCGTTCACGTTGAGACAATAGGCATCTTTCGTTCCATTTGGACTCTTGACGTTGATGCTCGTTGCACTGATATTAGCACATGCTGCCTCACTTGAGCATGCAACTGCTGCGATTTCCGGTTGGTATTTTTTGCTCGTAGTGCCTTGGAAGTTCTTGAAAACGATGTCTTTGATCGTCAAAGGTGATTGAAACTCAAGACAAAGTGTCAAGTTCTTCTGATTTCCGTAACATTGGTTGACTTGTATAGCGCAGTCAACTTCTCCCATTATCATGGTATCGAATGTGATTTTTCTCACCCGGCCATCTCCTCCACCTCCTTGGAGATCTCCAGATTTTACGCTTGCTACATTTGGCCAGACTTTGATGCGAGCAGCATTCTAAGAGCCATATTAGTTGCTTGATGTAAGTTTTAGGGACAAAACGGGATTGGCTTACGCTGGCATTGTACATTGAGACATTGAAAACATAGATATCTTCAACAATATCAAAGGCTCCCTTATACTGTCCTAACGAACCAACACTCATACCATGAGAGCCAACGCAGTACATATGTTGGACGATTATGTCCGTGCTGTTGGGCTTGAAAGAGACACAGTCTGCACGGAAAACTGTTAGTGAGTGACCTGATAACGAAGCAGGATCTTGAATGTACCATCTCCATTTATAACATGTGAATTTTGCATGACAATCCCAGAACTTCGGTAGGTATCCCACTAAGATAGATTGTTAGCAAAGCCATATTTGTATCTAGCAAGTTCCTCGGAATTGAAACTCTGAAAAGACAGAAAACCTTACACCGTCCGTATTCTTGGCGTCATTTTCACTCGTACTTTTCCCAGCAATATCAATATTATCAATCACCACACCCGTAGAGTTGGCGATGAAAAATAGTACTGTGGCGAATATCTCAAAAACAAATTACTAATGGTCGAATTATGAAGTCCATCTAATCCAAAAAGAACTGGTCGCAAGATGTAAATATCTTTGGCGCACAAATCGTACCAAACTTGTCCGTTTCCATCGACAAGACCGCCTCCGTAGATATTGACATCGTTACCACCGAGTTTGAAGAATGACGTTACGTTTTGAAAGACGAATCGAAAGGAGTTGGCTTGCCAATAGTCGGTATCATTGGTGAATTGAATCTGAGATTGAACCTCTGGTAGAGTTCATCAAGTCAATTTTTGAGAAATGAGAGGTGTATGACTGCGATCCGTTCGATCAACTCACCGATATCGATATGGTTCAAGAATGTCAGATCAAGGGCGGTGCCAATTGTGTAATTGATTCCTTCTCTGAATACGACATGGCCTCCATCGTTGCAACTTTGGAGGGCAGAAAAAACGTATTCAGAATCATCCATACTACTGTCGCAGTAGCCTTCGACGTAACATGTTCTGTTCCGGGCCGGAGACGGAGCAGGAGGGTTTGCAGGCGCTTTAGGGGATATTGAGATATTAGGTCTTGATGATATGGGTTCTGCAATTCTGCACTCTGAATCCCTCGATAATAATTCTTCCAATTGGGGATTTGCAAATGACTAGCTGATTCGATCGCTAGAAGGGTGGGGAATTGAAATCTCATCTTGATGAAGCTTGGGATTAATTCTCAACAGCTGGCAACAAGAATAAGAAAAGCAATTGAAGCTGCCCAGTGTTCGGGGGACAGAAGCTGTAATAAACCAAAGTGATAATATATTTTAGTTATTCTTCCGCCTTAGCGCATTGCTCGGCAACCATAATTGACATTGACTTCGATTCAGGGGAAATGAATTGGCCGGAAAATCATCCGAATGAAGCTTCAATTGCGGGGTCCCGGCTTGTGATCGAATGAAGGACCACCATAAGGCCAATTAGCGTGGAGTAGGGTTGGGTTCTTGGAGATGCGGAGAAGGGTGCATCCCCGCAAAGCTTTTCGTGTAACACGATCCCATTGGATCAAGTGCAATGGGGCTCTTCTAAGAATGTCGAAGAAGACGTCATGAAACTTGGGGTATCAAGCTCGTTGCCCGGAGAAACTTGGTTCATGATCGGTGCGCGGGAAAACATGCTGACGCTAATCACTGCGGCACATCACATTGGTGGATATTCTTCATAATTACTGTCCGCGGCTCGATGAAAGGGAAAACAAATTTAAGAAAGACCCAACTAAAAGGTCTAAATCGAAACAAAATGTTAAAGTTTCATAGAAATGCAAAGATCGTTACAGGCGAAACTCGATCCAAGGATACCCAGAATATTCCGGTCATATCCTTAACTTTTTAGGCCCGATGTTTTTGGTGGTAATCAAGGACATTGTCGCTACAAGGACCTCCTTAGGGGTTTTTAATTCCCGAAATCTTATCATATCAAAAACATCCTTGCTTTAATTCTGCGGGGGAAAGAGATTCATAGGGTTAACGTAGTCCTCTGAGATCCTTAGCAACACCTGGTATTGAGTATAAACTTAGGATTTAGTAATGAGAATTATGGGATTGTGCAAATAGTATTGAAATTGTAGAAGCATTAATGGGTTCTATGTAATAATATCCTTAGCACTTAAATATACGACGACCTTGTCGTGGCCTATGCTAAGAACTCGCGAATACTCTTATTTATCTTCTTAGCATTCTCCAGTCTGTTTATATCCTTGGATCGAGTTTGACCTATATTTCTTTTACTACTGTAAAGAAAATGAGTTCACACTTTAGAAGGTTGATATCATACTAATAAAATATAATACAATTACAAAGGGACGCCAGGATATGTAACCAGTTCATGGTCGCACTTCAGTTGCTTAGCGAGGGTGTTTTCGAGGAGTTTATGTGGATTGTCACACTAAGATCTGATTACGGTAAACATGAGCACGACTGAAAAAGTGTTCACGTATCTCCATACAACAGCTTTCAAGCTTGTTCCATTTTGTTCTTGGCGAGATTAAAAGATCGGGACTCGAATTTGACGTAAGTCCGACCGACCATGTCACGAGCTTAATAATCGCTTCAAGGTGACTACTCGTGTACGAAAACATTCGCTGATTTTATTCTACTAGCTACTGTAATTACTACCTAGGTTCTCACAATAAAGCTACAACAACCTATCTTAAGCTAGAAAAATCAACATCAAGGTTGATTAGCTTTTGGAGAGTTGACTAGAATTTATTTTGTATTTTTGCTATTCTTTTTGCATTTGTTGTAGCCAATGCCGTAGTAGCTATCTGGTACTTAAATCGGCGGATGATTCCGTACACGAGAAGGACGAGAAGCGATTCGGGAGAAACCACGCGAGCACGAAACTGGCCCCCAACTTTCCACATCATCTCCACATTACTCGTCCCGCCGTCCACTTCGACTTCCAAAAGCACATCTTCTATCGGACAGGATTACTAACTTCCTACTGGCTAGATTGTCTTGCTGATAGATCATTGTGCACTATCCATCATGTACTTGCAGGCACTTTTCCAATATTCAAACTACATTGGGAAGGCATGCGGATTATGGAACAGGCCGAACTGCTTCATGTATCAAAGAGCCACTTTTGTGCATTGGACTTGAATTGACCACTGGTATTTGGGTGTTGTCTTTCTGGTGGATCTTGCACAAGGAGATCGATGATCTTAGAGGGCGTGGAGGTTCGTAGGCATCCGATTACTGTCGTAAATTTCCCTTTCAAGCGCTCGAATCTGGCCGCTCTGGTCACTTTCACCCGACTCAAAAAGGGTGGTACTGACCGAACTCGCGAAACTCCAGTCTTATTCCCACACGTCGAACTCGCAGCATGGCCTGTCCCTGATACTTTTTCCCGTCGCCACCAAACAACGTAGTGTATATCTGCAAAGTGATTGCCAATTGGTCGCAAACCAGGTCTGTGCCGCTGTCATTCACGTTTTATGGCCCTTTCGAGCATTAAATAGGGCTGAGTGCGCACTGATTCGTCTCTTAGCGGAGAATAGAATCCAAATTGAACCATCCGACCATGTGTCTACCGACTATTAACTTTGTGCTCATAACAATACCGAAAGCCCGGATTTCGTTACCGTGGATGATCCCCCAGAACCCATCTCTATGTTACGCAGTACAATCTCGGATCCGCACAGTAGTGATGGTAAGATATTCGGACCAACAGGCTTCTTCAAGACAACGACGGGAAAAGATAACGTGTCATATGAATCTTCAACTTCTTTGTTGGCTGGAGACATGGTTCATGCCTTAGCTTACCAGACTTCGAGTTCATACTTCACAGGAACCTCACCTGCTCTCTACTCGTAGAAGAACGATGTTAACGAACCAATTGGTACCTAATTCTGCTGGAGACGAACGAGCGGAGCTGGTTGCCATGCGTGCGCCATTTGAATAGACCAGGTCAAGGGTCTACATGCCTCCTCCCGAGTGGGTGACTGGCCCCCTAGATCACGGCGATCAAAGTACATGAACAAGGGTAGTATCACCATATGTATGAGGACTCGAGAAGCGAGTAAGTCCAACCTCATTCCTTAATCGACCAATAAGACTAGGATCCAAGGTTTTCATCTTGCGAATAATAAAAGCACGATTCGTTGTTTTAGACCTGTCCGCTGTTTAAGATTTCAATATTGTCTCGTAATTAAGCCCTGAACGGATTCTTGCAAAAGTTTCGAAGATCGAAGCAGAATTGATCTCTATCTAGCCACTTGGCAAATTGAAGCTCCAGGTCTAAACCAGCCTCTGCATAACGTTGACTCGAAGTATGGAATGCACGCACTAGCGCGTCCGCTGATCCCCCCCCTTTTCCCCCACTTATATTGCTGTATTTAATCCTCCGTTGAAGGAAAAAAACTGATATATCGTATTTGACAACCTTCTGGTAACCATCTTCACATTAATCTCCTCTCCCGAACGGTGCCGTACGGTCCTACCAATACATTGCAAACACGATCCTATATGCACCAAGAAGACCAGCCCCTCTGCTTCCCGCCCCCATTCAACTGCATCGTGGACCCCCTTGAACGCGGGAAAGATAATTGACCACCTTGATAACAAAACCAAAAACAGAAGTCCAGATTCCCAAACAAACAAATGTCGAAGAAGGTCTCCATCACCCTATGTTCAACGAGTCAATGATGACCTCGGGAAAAAAAAGAAAATCAAAATGGGAAAACAGGCAAGGCAAAGCAAGAAATGCAGCTTCTATTGTCGCAACAAGAGTTTTCCACCACTATACAGATCTGCGCTCCGCTTTCAAAATTGACTTGGGAGACCATCATAGTAATGGCCATGGTGCTGATGTGTGAACAGAGGTGCATCGTCGTGGTAAACTCCTTGAACATCCTGCAGAGCACGAACAACCTCATCGAAAGGTTGCTCAACTGGTTCCGTCTTGGGAAGGAAGTACGGAGTTGGACCGGCCATTTCATTATTTGGAGGTGTTGATGGAGAACTATGTCTCTGCATGCCAGCTTGCGCGGGATAAGAGTATTGTGAGCAAAGGATGTCATGTCTATGCAAAGAGCGTCTGGGGTCATTTCGGTCCCGAACTGCTCGCCTTTGCATCTTCATTTTGTAGGCGGATATCCCCCCTTTTCGCCCAGAGCTTTGGCGAGATGGAGTCGGATTGTCTGATCTCATGAACCTCTTTGCCCCTGTGCCTTTGCGATATCGCGTAGTAGACTGGACGCCATCCTTAATCGCGAAGTCTTCAAGCACCCACTCGGTAGACTTTTTGGTGTCATCGCCAGGTAACTTGCGCTCCGTTTTCTTAAAAGCCTCGTTTGAGTTAGCCAGTTACTCAAAGTTGCAAAGATTCATGGATTCATTGTCTTACAGCATTCATGGATAAGTTGTGACGAATGCTATTCATCCATCCCTTACTCTCTGGTCCCCCGTTGCCTTTGCCAGTGTTTTCTCGAAACCACTGGTATATCTCCTGTAGAACCATAGAGTGGGACGGCACACTCATGAGAGCCCGGTGGATAAGTTTTGCGTAAGGTTCGTCTGTAGTGTGCTCATCAACATCCATCGCAGTTAATTCACGAGAACTGCGGCCCCCATCATCTGAGTCGCCTGTCTCTTTGGTTGGGGAGAGATGTGGCTCCTGGTGGTCGTTTTCCACCTTTGGACTTTGGCTCATACTCATCCGCACATATGATGTTGCTTTAGTCACAAAAGGATCTTCGTCCGATGTATTGTGAACATTCCTCTTGTCGGGTTCCATCATATAGGAATGTTCGAATACGTCCGTGTTGTTAAGCATCCTTGGATCGTATGGCGGCCAAGTACGAGGAACGCCTGCGAAGTTGATTCCTCGCACCAAACTATTGTCTTGTTCACTACTTGTAACAACTGCTGAATAGCCGTAGTAGTTGTTGGTGGTGGTTTGATCATCAAAGCTCATCTGAGAGTTGTTTGGGTCACTCCAAATGGTCGAAGATTGTGGGAGGCTCGTCATCGGGGAAGTGAGACCAAAGTTGTTGACAGGTAAAGTCGCTGAAGGGTTGACCACAAAGGGTTGATCAGGTCGACTCCGGGAGGAACCATCAAATGAGACCATATGTTGCGTTGATTGCATTGAAGACCCCAAGCTGTCCCCATATGGGTAATCCAGAGGCAAGCCGTGGTTCTGAGGTCGATGACGGTATTGCCCCGAATTCATAGTGATTAACATCAAAAGACCAAGTCTGTATTCCTCACCGCTAGAGAATAGGAAGGTTATTGCAACCGGGTTGTTGTATTGTGCTACAGTTTTAACGGACGGCTGAGTCGGAAAATTCGAAGAATGGGGAATAGCAAAAAGGGAACCAGACGATGATATTCAGCGAGAGTACCTATCTAACACCGGGTGCGACATGCAGGATAGCGTGCCAACGCATGGATATAATCGTTTGCATACGCTTCCGATCGCCGGCAAATGGCCCTAATAGAAGGGGCGACCATCTGTACTTAGCTTTGATAGCAATCGATTGTTTTCTGTCACAGAGGCACTCGCAAATAACCTGGGGGCCTGAGTATGCATGCATGGAGAAGCATGAATGGCTTGTGCTACTACGGCCACTTGCATATACACTACTGGGGCAGCACTAGCAAAGCCCTTCTAGGTAGCTGAGCAGGTTCCACCGCAAGCCTTGGGCAGGCTCAACGGCGTAGAACAATGGGTCCGTCATTTTTCTCCGGGGAGGCTTTCTGGAAGAGCGCTAGAACAGGTCTCACAGTACAGCTGAGCTACTGCAGTGAGGGCGGCCATATACTGCCATGGAATGCTTAGTAATTGTACATGAAGAATGGCATTGGCAGCGGGCGGATCTGGTTACGGCCAGGGAAATGGAAAGGAAGACGGGTAGCTACCCATGGCTACACCGCGAGATAGACAGCGGCTGTTTCTTGCAGCACCCTGCGCCTTGGAATGTGGCCTTGCCGTTTAAGATAACAATCACACTCCGTAAGAACTTTAACAGTCATGAAGCCTGGGTGCTTTCCGCCGCAGTCCCAAGATGTGATGCCCTAGGAGTCAGGTCGCTAAGCTCGTCAATCCTGCCAGTGACACAAGACAAAGAATATGGTGGTGGTACATGCACTGCGAGTTTTGATTCTCTAGATCGGGATTTTTGTAAAATTAGTATGCTTGATTTTCTATTCTCTACAGGAGTCTTACTTGCAAGCCAGAGAAAACGCTGACCATGCAAGCCATGCCCAGACAATTACTTTCTGTAGTAAATCTAATGACGAGTCAGCAATTCAAAGCTCGAAAGAGGGTTAGCTATCTCCTACCTTTTTATACTGGAAGTGTAGCTGGAGTATCCCCTATAGGAAAGCGGTTAGCGTTGTAGACAAGGGGTATTAGTTGATACCACCAACGCGCGGCTAGACCATCGCGGCTGCTGTGCTACCTCGCATTAATGCTAGAAATACCCTGATATTCACATACCTTGTCAAAGCTACTTCTAAAGCCACGATCCCTCTTGGCACTGTAATCCCATTCCTTGTCAACAATTCTAAAAGCAATGTCTTCATATGGTGGCCCAGCAATGAAACGAATAAGGCAGGTATCCTCTTCCCCAGCGGGTGCAAAGGACTCTCCTCGCTTGCGTCCGTGTTCCCGTATAATTTTGAAAGTAGGAGCTTTGGCCTTGTCAATCAGATCCGGATAGAATATGTTGAATTTGTAACCTTGGACTACCTTTGGTGGTGGATTATCATGATCGTAATGCGTTTGATTATACTTGTTCCATTCATAACCCATCTGCACACGGTTGAAATATCGAGGCTTTCTCGGCCGGTATTTGTCTGCCCATTGCGGTTTTGCGGAAGTTGGTACTGATTCTTCCCCAGTAAAGATTTCTTCATCTTCGTTTACCCCTCGGGCGACTTCTCTCTCATACAAAGCAGTGGTAGCTTGTGAGAAGTCCTCATTTGCAATACTGGAAAATCTCTGCGTGCCTGGAGGTGCATTTCCGACTACCGTATTACTTACTTTGCTGGTGGATGCAGATGGTGCCTTCTCAGTGGCCATCTGTTGAGAGGGCACATAACCAAGTTTCAGAACTCGGCGACGATCGGCAACTACCTTCTGAAGAAAGACGGATTCATCAATGATTTCGCTTGTTTTATCTTCGTTGTGCAACTTCAGTAGCGGTTCTGGGTCATGCCTCGAGTTATACTGGAATTTAGGTTGACGTCGGATTAATTGTGAGACATCTTCGGAGTCCTTGACTGATGTATCAGTACTCTCATCAATGACTAATGCAGGTCCTGTCAACAACGCCTGCAACCTTGAACGCACTTCTAAAGCATCCTCTTCTTGTTGCTTGCGTAGTGTTTCCATTCGGCTGTCGAGAACTGATTGATAAACCTTCTTAAGTTTGGCCTTTGCCTTCCAGATGAGCAAGCTGCGCAAAAGCTGCTCCCAGTAATCAACATCAATCGGCTCGTTTGATTGTAATTTCGTCCGTATTTGCTTCTCCAGTGCTTCTAGTTGTTCATATGTTTTCGGGCTGAGAAGCTTGTCGACGTCGGCAGCCACGGATCCTACAGCACGTCCTTCGCGACCTTGCGGCTTCAATCTTTGGCGCCGATCATTGCAAATAATCTGCATTGTTTTCCAGTAATCTTGGTTCTTCGTGTTCGTCTCCAAGGCCAAGTATGATTTAATATCGGTTTCCAACTCTCCAAGCTGCGCATCGTTGAGGCCCTCAAAAACACCCTCCGGATCCACAACATCGACTCGCACCTCCTCTTGTTCCTCGTCGTCGTCCAAAAGGTCTCTATCCGGGTCAATCGCACGGAGAATGACGGCAAGCCAATCGATGGGTTTGGCTCTGCCTTCCCGGACTCGAATGTCTGCCTTCTTCTTTGCCTGTTTCAACACAAAACTGTCCTCTTGGGAAACCCATCGCTTTGTCTGTTCGTCATCTTGAGTCTGCATATTCCGTGGAGGGCGATTATCAGCATTTCTGCTCGTGGGGGTGTGTTGGCGCGCTGGCTTGGAAATTCGAGAAGTCGCATCACGTCGGGGAGCGGTGATATCTCTGGCGGGTGAGTCGCGATTGTTGAGCATAGCTCTTCTTGCTGGATCCATGGTGTCAATGTACAGAAGAGGCTATTGCTGCGATGTTGCACTGGCGCTGCTGGGCGGGCCTGGAAGCGTCAACAATATCGCAGGCAGCTCCAGCTTGAGATTTGCTCAGAACCACGTGATCGCGCGCTTGAATCGTGTTTCAGTCACGTTCCAAGGTTCAGTCCTGAACTTTACTTAATTACCAAACTCCTCCATACAAACCACACGACATCAGCTTCTCGCCCGTCATCTGCACATCCACCGGATCCCCACATGCATATATGTACCCGGCTGGTCTTCATGATCTGACCTCTTTTTCTGTAAGTGGTATTCTCGTACAGGTACTGTACAAAAACATCCCATCTCGGCCAAGCGGCAGCGAACGAACAAGCTTCTAGACCTACAAGAGCACTCCACCATGGCAATTCTCGAAGGTCTACCTGGCATTCAAGTTACGATCGAGTCGGATGGCAAAACCTTAGATGAGTATCCCGACGACGAAGATTTCAAATTCCGAGAGTACACTGCCCCAGAGAAGGCCATGTCAACCGTCTTTGTACCTTGCGTCTCCGACGCGGCTTTCTCGATCAGACTTCGTACCACACAGGAATACGTACCCTCCCTGCCACCTAATGGTCCTCATCACGATGGGCTTTTGTTTCAGTATATGTGAATGGGGAGGGTATCCGCAGTAATTCCACTCCATCAGCCCGTCCTGGTAATTGGTCTTTTGCAGTCACAGAAGCTTCTCGCTCAGTTGTCAAAAATACAGTGCTTCGCCAGTCCTTGTCGTTCTCGACTATCCAGAAGAGTATGGTTATCATGCCCACTCCCCTTGTCCGATTTTGTACATGCTCTAACATATATCAGTCGATGATGCCAATGCGGATCAAATTGCATCAGATATCAAGATAACCAACCAGGGATTGGGCGAAATCGTTGTTGTGGTTCGGAGAATCGTCTACAAAGACCATGTATTGAAAGTTGCGAGACGTGATGAGAAGGCATTCGAAAACGTCTCCCAAGTTTCAGAGAAAGCACTCAAGGGCAAGGCAATTTCTCACGGCGTCAAGTAAGTGGTTTAAGCAACTCCAGCAATCTTGCTAATTTTCTTGTCAGATTTGGCAAAGGCACCACGGTCCATCTGCCACGTCTGCGATCAGGGAAATCAAGTGATTATGTGGATAGTCGTAGTTCTGCAATGGCCATGTTCCGCTTCAAATATCGATCGAGAGGTAGGCTTCTGAACAGAACTTCTACAGTATAACAAAGGTTGATAATTCCACAGAAGCTTTGCAACAAGAAATGATTATCCCCCGAATTCCTTCCCCAGGACTTGTTTTGGAAGCACTGGGCCAGTCTCAAACGCCGAACGAGTAGCTCGCTTGAAGGTAAGTCAATCCACTTATTCTTCGGCTTCTCTGTTAATTTTCTTCAGCGAGAAATAGATCTGATCAAGGCGGAAGAAGAAAAGGAGAACCGACGACGTGGTCTAAAGCGCCAGTTTAAAGACGACGATGATCTCCAGATCAGCAGAGCAGGCAAAAGTAGGAGCCGAGCAACAGGTGCAAAGGTTGAGATGATTGACCTGACGGATGACTGAGTGCGAGTTCCGCGTTTCTTTTCCCAGCGCCCGTTGAGATGTTGTTCCGATTTGCCCTTCTGCGATACATTTTGAGAGCCGTGATGGTGGTTCAGAGCTACCTATTTCCATGGCTTTGTTGTTGTTGTTACTTTTTTTTCTCAGCAATGATTCTGGCTTGGGTCTTCCCCAAATTTTATCGCTGTACTGCACATAGTTGCTTCTACATTACGAGACTAAGGCTGTGGCGTTATGGACGAAAAGGGGTTATGATACCCTCTGTGTGCTTGCTTAGCAATGATAACGATTTCGTTTTTCACTAAGTGTTCTGGTACATCTTCTGTGAAACTGACTACTTACGATATCCTGGATGATCGTATCTAGTAAATCGATTTAAGTAGAGAATAATATTCGGAATGCTGTGGCAAGTCCGCTCCTTAGTAGGGTATGCCGGAAATGCTAATGATAAAGTGACTGAAAAATTACTAAAATGCTTCGACTTTGGGATTCTCGCACTTCGGAGATACTTTCCTGGTATAATTCATTGACTGAAAGTCCAAATATGTTCGGTGGTGAAAGCTGGAGATATAGTCCGTAGACAATCCGAGGTCGTCGCTCAGGAGGTGGTGGTAATCACGTGATAGTAGTTTTGTATATGACCTCGGAGGCTTCTCATTTATCGGGCTCTACAGACTTATCGTTCGGTTACTCTTCTGTTTCTATACGTATTTGTAAACGGAGAATTTGATTCTCGGAAGTGGCTGGGGTGGTATGTTTTTAAAAGTTATGATTAAGTCACGTGCATATATACTGGGGAAATGGATATTTAACTGGAAATGTCCTCAATAACCTACGTAGACAAAATCTATTCTGGCGTATATCTATACTATACATCATAATTTATTAATGTATTAACTATATATCATACTATGATTAAACTTGAACAATAATACTACGTGGGAGACACTATTGATTATCCCCATTGAAAGAAAATATAAAAGCCATACCAATTTCCAAATCATTTATAAGCACCTTACATTGAGTACAGGCTAGCTAACCTGCTCCAATGATTGGTAGATTACTATTTAAAACAAACACAATAATTTGAATAGGATACCAGCAACATAAGACGCTTCAAAAACAAATCCTAGCAACCCAATGTTCATCTGGCTGACACCACCATGATTTCTTCTGCAAAAGGCGCTAATTACGCATCACAGAAAATCCCAAAAATCATATCAACACTCAAATCACTCAATCTAGCACAAAGTCAAAAGTAAAGATATTTTTTATTTCGCGCGAAGCTAACTAGATGTAAAGCTATTGCTCATCCCCAGTGAAAGCAAATGTAGCAAATTGTAATCTCCCCTCCTTGGCAATTTGGAAAATGAAAATTGCAGTCTTTGAAGAGCTGCTGTGGATGATGATTGGGAATGGGAGGTTTGTTGTTGATACGCTCTGAAGCGCGGTGGTAGGGAAACCCAACTACTATTCCTCCCTTCCCGTTACAGCATGAAAATGAGAATTTTGAGATTTTGTCCTCCAATTCCACCAGATGAGAAAATGAAAATGAAAATGAATGACTTGTGAGGCAATGATGAAACTTTGCGATGCCAAATCTCCAAGGTTGTGGTGGCTTCAGCCAGATTCAGGTTTGTGGAGTAACCAAGATCAGGCAGCGAAATTACTTTGTGGTACCAAACCATTGTCAAAGGAGCTGGTATCTCCCCTGTAAAATAGTTAGAAGTATACCAAAAACGGTGCTCTCCATTCCCTCACAAGCTTACCAATCTTGCTGCTCTCTATCCCAAGGTAGCTCACTGTCCAACACCTCGTAACATAGGAAAGCATCTTTAAAATCACCGACGCCAAAACTGCCTCTCATTGTGTCCAGTCTCAAAAGGTTTTTGTTGATTGGCTCCAAAGCTCGGCGAAGCGATGCAATAAGGTTGTCTGGAAGTTTGTCTCGAGCATTGGCATTGATGAGTCTTCGATAATATTGTGGGTAGAACATGGTACCCTCCTCCCCATTTGGACCAGGTTGGTAGCAGGTTGATAGAGCAGCGTAAAAAAATTTAAAGACACCATCGCCATATACTTCTTTGTTTGCTTGGATGAGGCGTAGGTGATTGTCGATGGCATGAAGCGTCAATGTCATCTTGGATTCAAGATAAGTGCACAAGACTCTCAACTTATCGCTTTTAAGCTCTGTGTATCTAGGTTTGCTCACAGGACCGAGGCAATGGATCATTGCTTCTCGGAAGAGTAAGGCGTGACGAAGCTGGTAAGCACAGTTGAGGGCTAAGCATGGGTTACTTGCTATGCTTCTGCTGAAGGCTTGGTTGTTGATTGTCGTTTCGTAAAGGGAGTTTGATACAGCTGGTAGGCAAAGATAGAAATCCGCCATTTCGGCTAAGCATCCCAACTCCTCAACGTTGCGAACAACAGATTGGCGGCAGAACATGGCACGCAGAAGGTTATGGAAACAGTTTTCATGAAGACCTGCATTTCCTGTGAAGCTTTCAGTTGACGAATTTCGATCCTAAGCGGAAAAAATCAGCAAACGACGAGGTCAAGAAATAACTAGCTACGTACCTTTGGATCACTTGAGAGTCCCCAAGAACCATCGTCATCAATCTTAGTGAACCACTCATATCTGAAACTTTCTGACGCTGGCTTGCGAAAGGGCTGATTGATTGGATCAAGGAACTTCTTGAAGTAGACCGACATGATTCTCAAGGCGTCTGAACTAACATGGAACTCTTGGTTAAAGACAATAATACGAGTATCAGTGGCCCTGCTTCCTGGTGAAGTAAACACAATTGGATTTGGACCGTCGTCAGCCTTAACTTTCTTGCCTGCTGATTCCCCATCAGCAGACATCTCAGAGGCGTCTCTCTTGGACATTGTTGCGATCGTTGATTGAGTTGAGGATTGGGAGCTGGGTTGAATGGGAGAGATTGTATTTTGGTAATCTGAATGCGCAACCACAGAGGTTGGGCTTGAAGTTGATGGATGAGTTTGACTTTGATCAGAAGTAGTTGAGGTTGAGGAGTTGAAGTAGTGCGAAAGGAAGTTGAGAAGAGGTGGTAGCATGCAGATCGGAAAGTGGAGTGAATCCAAAGGTTCTCCGATAGGGGTTTTGAAGGTGAGGTCGGTCAAGATATGCCACTGAAGTTCCTGCTGAAAAGTGTGACGCAAGGTTCTTTTACTGTGAAAAGTATGTGAAGACTGTGAAAACTTATAAAGAACGATTGTCGATATGAGGCTCAAAAGTCAAGTGGTAGTCTTGCGCAAAAATACCATTGACCTGTCAGGGTGATCTGAAGGCGTGAGAACTGGAGAGAGTTGTTTGGAGGTGGATTTGAAGGCGGAAGGAAACAAAGAAACTTGAAGGCTGTTGCTTGATCCTCTCAAAAGAAGTTCTTCCACAGGCTGAGGTTGTTGGTGAAAAAGTAGAGAAAGAGGTTGAAGGAAAGTTTGTGGAGGTGATTGAGAATTTGAAGAGAGGCTGGCTGAGGAGGTTGGTCTATAGAGCATTCATGAGATGGGATTTAAAGCTGAAGCTGTTCTTTCCATGTTGGGGAAGTGACATAATTCGATATCTGTTTCATGCCCTACTTATTCTCGCTTACCAGTGTTTGACGTCAGATGTTTTCCTTGTTCCCACTTCTAGAGTAACTTATAATTACGCTAGGATTTTTACCTAATTGTTTAATTTGTAGCGAAATAAAATCTATCAATACAGTCTAGATCAAGTATTCAAAATCAAGTCTGGATATAGGATACAATAAGTTTTATTATCCCTTAGACGTATCGTATGTACGTTTCGATTTTTGAATTCGAGGTATCCACTTTTAGTCTTAGTACTCAACGATAATGAAATCTTATCACTGTGCTCAAGAGGCACAATTCGGGTCCGGACTTCAATTTTCAAATGACTCTACTAGAAACTTATGACTAATAAAAACATGACTCCTAATTACGACATGAGAAAGTAGCAGTTAGCACTATATCTAAGGAATGGTGGATAAATGATATATATTACCACTCCTTTGTAACAACTACGAAACTATACGATTTTAACTGAAGAACATAAAACATGATGTTTATAGTTAAATTAAGCCGAACTCAGCGTTACGAGAAACATCGTGTTTAAGGAATGAAGTTTCATTAATGAAAAGCTAACCAGAGCTATCGCTAGGTCCTGATTGTCCAATCAAAATTCCAATTGAAGTGAGTGCAATTTGGTTGGGCTCAAGTTGTAATAGTCTCAAAATGGGTGAAAACCAGGTTTCTGATAATGAGTGAAGCGGTAAGAGCTTGCAAGATCTGCTCCCAAGCTTGGTTGGAAATCTTCCAAGAGAAGTAAGTACCTATGTCCGTACTCAGAGATTGCTTTTGATACACGAGGATTATTAATGGAGAAGGGATTGAGCTCAGAGACGAAGACAACAGTTGACATCAGATTCCCATAACCGATCTGAATCATCTTTCATCTCTCGAGTGCATCGAAGGAATTTGCACTTACATCAGAAACAAGGTTCTTGCTCTTAACTCTGTTCGTTGACATTCAACGGCAAATCCTTGTCATCAATTTCAGCACAGAGGAATTTGCGTTGGTAAGCTCCAACACCAGCTCTGGTACGATTATGAAAAGCCTTATCGCCAATCTTCAAATTACTCTTCAGCAATCCCTCCACAGCCCTTTTAGCGTTTTTGAAAGCGCAGTTCTGATGCTTTTGATGATCATCCAAGTTCTTCTCCAGTCGAATGAGAATTTGGCGATAGTAATGTGCATTACTTGTCACAGGTGATTTCTCATTGAGGCTGTCTGCGCAGGCTCGAAGATGCTTACAGACACCAGCCGTCTCACCACAGGCTTTGAAAAGAATTTGCATTGCCGAGATGATCTTTGCCTGAAGCTTCTCATAGCCTGCCAAGGTGATTTTCATGAGATCTCCGACTAACTTCATATCCTCAGCATCTGCATTATCGAATTGTTTCTTGATGCTCGGCCACGTTGCAACCGAATGAACCAGCGCATCGTTGAAGAGAACTCGATTGTGTAAATGTTTCGCAACCAGTAGCATTATGAACGGAGCTTTGGGAATGAGGTCCGCGAATTGAATCTCTTGACCATCGGAAGTGCATTCAGGACGACGACGAAAAACCCGATCCAGGGCCTTCGAGAAGGGCGGTTTGATCTGGAGATAATTTGCAACTCTGATTGCATCCAAGATCTCTTCGACAGACGTGATGGCGAAATCTTTATTGTAAATTGCAGAGAATACATGAGTAGAACCTCTTGCCATGTCTTTCGCCTGTTGTAAAATATCAGAGGTTTGGTGATTGGTATTCACAGTAGCTCCACCACTGGATTTGTCTTTGTTCGACTCAAATTCTTGGTGTAAGGAGGCGGCGGTTGGTCCTTTTGGTAATTCGCATGTTGGCCCACTCTAAGAGCCTGTGGGATATCAATTCGAGCATATTTCAACCCAATACTACTGTTCAGTCTGTAGTACCAGCTCGTGTTTCAGCGACGACTTGCGCAGTGAGAACAATACCACAACTTCCATCGTCGCTTATTGTAAACGTGTAATCGTACTTGAATCTGCCGACGGGTCCCACACCCAATCTGTCTGCATCGTCTAAGATTCCCGATAGAAACTTGGAGTTCAGCTTGAGGATGGTACTATGAAGATGGAAGTCCTGACCGTACACGTTGATTCGAACATCCGGTGCGCCAAGATTTGGAAAGGGGGCGTCGAAGGCGATGGGTGGTGGCGGCCTTTCGAGGGGGTGGAGTTGGAAGATTTGGGAGATGCCATGCTGGCTGTTGCCCAGTCACTGATTGGTAATATTCTTGGCCTGTTCAAGATAATGATTGGGATGAGAATGATGTGTGCTGAAGTGCCAGGGGTGACCAGGTGGTGGTTTGAGCTACTTAATGGGGATGTGGCTGTGGATTTGCCACTAAAGAAGTGAATGGTTAAATTGAAAAGTCGAAATGTTGGTTAGTGCTTCAGTTCCTTGGTCACTTATTGCTGCTGTGGCCATCGCCTTTGGCAAGTGATTTTGCACAGCGTTAGTGATAGGAGGTATTATAAATATCATAGAGACGCTTCATTACTTTCCTGCATTAACCCCTTGATCCTGAGTAACATCCTCGTTGACACTTAATTTAACCTCAATCCCGTTGTTCCAATTTCATTACTATGAAGCTTTTTGCTCTTCTAGAACAGCTGTTCTAAACTACATTGATTTGGATTTATACAAGGGTTCTTCTTCTCCTCAGAACAATTATGTCCTCCCTTATTGCACAAATACTATAGATACTATAACGACAGAACAAGTCCTGTTTCATGAGAGAAATACTACCGTACCTTTTCCCGATAGTTATACTACTAGTTTGTTGTTATAAACATTTGTATAGAGAAGACATTTGAAGAAGATAAGGGGTATGCTAGGGACAGTTCCATCGCGAAAAGATTACAGTAGTTAGAGGGTTAGTCAGGTCACACTTCGGTAGTTTTATTTTATATTATGTAAATTACATGGTACGATACCTAGCATTCATGATGATCCTGAGTCACTGAAAGTACAGTGCGAATAATTCTTGACTGTTTTGCCTTCTTTAGTAACTAAGATAACTATCTAAGAGCAAATCAACGCCTATATATGAAATACGAGATGAGGACAGAAATTCGCCAAAAGAACCAAACATCGTGTGATCACATTATACAAGTCACCAGTATCTTCTATCCGTAACAACCAGAAGAGATGCCTAAGCACTCGCAACCAAATCAAAATACACAGCAAGCCTCTCAAACCCCAGCTCCGTTCCTGTAAACCCAAGATACGCACTTACCCCAAGAAAAACAAAAATCAGAAAGACAAAAGAAGTGGGAAAGATCAGATTAACACAACACAATAGAACAAACCTCCAGTTGAGACATACAAAAACGCTACAATATCGTCAAATCCAAGTCGCTTGTTGCACATACAACCAATCACCCATGATAGAATCCAAGCCAAAGCGATGTGTCTGCTCATAGCTATCGAACTTCAACCTGGAGATCTAAGACGACGTACGATAGGGTATGAACTGTTGATTTCATCCCCTCTTTCCTTTCAAAAAAAAGAAAACTCTCAAAACACCAATACCAAGAGATACCCGAGCTTCCATCATCACATCATCCCCCTCATCAACCGAATAACCCCATCACACACACCGTGACACTATTCCAAACCTCCACGAAAAAAATACTAAAGAATACTCGAATACATGATAAATATCACATCATCCATCTCAACGATCGAAACGCTAGTATATTACCTCGACGCTAGGCGGTGGGGGAAGATTCCGGGCCGTTGACGTTATGTATGTATAGTACATCCCAATTCCCCACTCCCAAAACCCCCTTAAAACTCATGGAATAAGAACAATTAATATAATAAACGGCAATCTAGTTTCTTCTGGAAAGAAGAAAGAAAAAGAGGTGGAACAAACAGCGAAAACGACAGGGAGAAGGAATAATGCAGATATACCAGTTCCGGAAAGAAATATATCATAACCCCACAATCTACAGGTACAAATTTCATCAAGTTCTTTGCGACGGCGATTAGAGATAATACACTGTACGAGTACATCATCAATCAACATCAAGTCATCCTCAAAAAAGCAACCCAAAGTCGCGATCTAAAAATAGCCCCCCTCTCAAATATCCTTACATAATAAAACACCAGAGCGGGGCACTCTATCAACGACACACAATCAATCACAAAATCACACACAACAAATCATATTAACAAGCCTTTTATTGAACTATCAAAACTGCATATCCTCGCAGAGTACATCCTGTAAAATTTTCATAACGAACGAATCAGTGCGACACCAGCAGGAAGACACCAGGGCAAATGTCCAAATTCCAACTCCCTCCGGAAAAGGAGAAAGAGGAGGAGAGCCCCTTATCATGTCTCCCACGGCATCAAGTAAGTACAAAGAGGCAGAAGGTAAGTGGCTCCTGCGGATTTTTTGAAAAGAAAAAAAGAGAAATGCAAAAGGGTATGAGGAGAATGTAACGTGTCATGAGTGCTCAGCGCCCAATCCATTTAGATGTATGCAATATACCACACGTACCCTCATCCAACTTCACCCCTGCATTACACCTTCACCACCCTTTCGAGTTTCGAGTTTCGAATTTTGAGTATCCTGAAGGAAAGGCCAGAATCGGAAAGTGTTTTTGACGAGATGTTGAATCTGCCCAGGGGAGATGCAGATGAGGCGGAACTGTGGTGGAACTAATTCATAGCAGTCTTGAACTCAAGTGGGACTGCACAAGGATCCTTGGAGAAAGTAGTCTGCAAGCCATCCCAAGAAGCAGGAGACTGACCGCTGGGCAATCCAATACCAGCAGCCATTCTGTCCAATGCATTCTTGACCGTGACAGCAGACGGAACATCGGCGAAGACAATCGTCGCGTTTCCGCCGTTGTAAAGCCAGATCAATTGAACCGTATCCCGGCCAACCAATTTCTCGCACAAGGCCTTCAGTTGTCTCTCGCCAAACATGAAGAAGAACCGAGATTTGACGATGGTGAGACGCCGGCTGGCGTATGTTGGTGGATCCATCAATCTGAGATACTCGTCACATGGGAACGGCTCTCCCCGAACCGCCTCGACGGTGAATCTGAATCTGCTTGGGCGACTCTCTGCGCGCTCCTTCACCATGATGGAATGGAACAGCTCAGCATCGACGGCATATTGGAAGATGACTCCGGCAAATCTCGTTCCCTTCTCCTCGTCGAAGCCGAAACTGATGCTTCTCAACGGACCTTCATGGATGGCATCACTAATATCTTGTGTCGTGATGTTGGACGGAAGATCAAGGAGAAAAACCACTCGGATAGTGTCGTCACGGGTCTCTCGACTTCCTCCGTAGGCAACGACATGTGTGAGGCCTCCTGACTTGGAACGGTTAGCTTGTTTGCCGGGATGCAATTCGATCAGTTGGGCATTTGGATTAGCTGTGTTAGCAATGGCAGCCCATGATGCAGCCTGAGTAACAAAGATTTGAGGAGGGGTCTTGTTGAATGTGGAGACGGGAGCGGGGGGCTCGTCCTCCTCGTCGTCGTCCAGTCCAATGTCGTCTTCTGGTTTCCATGATTTCGGTGTTTGCATCTGCTCATCCGGCTCCTGGACTGGGGTTGGTAGTCTGCGAGGTGGACTGTAGTGAAGGGGTGATGACGATACTACTTGGGGTGGGGATGGATGGCCATGAACCGTCTCGATGATTCGGGGTAATTGCTGGGCTCTTCCAGGGGCGGGATTGGTGTCTTGGAAGAGTACTCTACCGCGTCTCTCAATTTCCCGAGTAATAGGAACAGGTGCTTTAATAGGTGAGGTAGGCGCATAGATATTGACATGCTTACGTGGTCCAACAGCTCTGCAAACGTGCAATGTGTATTCAAGGTCAGGTCGAGCCCAGTCCACAACCATCAAATTATGGCATCTTTCAATGACATAGTCGGCGGCAAGGGCGGAAGTCAAAACCACCCAACGGAAGGAGCATTGGGAGACGGTGTCGACCACGACGACACATTTTTCAACAATGTTCAACTCCGTGACGTCGTTGATGAAGTTTCTCATGCCGATTGGCGTGAGTAGATCCGGGAAACCCAAGATGTAAAGCATGCGTTCCTCCTCAATGTCTCGATTATACGCCAGAGGGGTGGCCGGGATGACCTTTCGGATGTCAATACCTTCGTTGGTAAGCCAAGAGTCCATGTAGAGACTATGAACCTGGTCTGGATGAAGGCCGAAGTCTTCTAGAGCCCACACGAGTTCCGGGTATGCACTGGCTTTCCAGTCTGTACAGATTCTGGGTGGCATTTCGAATGGTGATGATACAAGACCGAGGTGTGAGATGAGATGCGATCAGGTACAGGAGTTGTGCGCGTGCAATAGGGGATGTTGATGTTGTGGCTCACAGATAGACCCGTGTTTTGTGTGGTTGCGAGAAGTTGTGCTATCAAAACGTGAATATCAAAAATTCAAAACATCCGCGGGGCGCGTAGCGCCGACTTACAAGAGCAAGTACTACTTGCGTAGCCAACGAGGGCGCAAGAGTATTGACAAGATGAATGTTTGAATGATTTCGAGTTGCGTTGCGAATGTCGCGTTTGCAGTGTGTAGAAAAGGAAGATGGGGAGTCTTTCAAGCCAACAGACGACTGTTTTATATCCAGCAGCTTCGAGGTCTCCAGCCGTTCGGCTGAATCGGCTCCGTCCCTTTACACAATTGACTTTATTGAATTCGACACTTGCATCATTTATTGGGTCATACAAGGCTATTGTTTTGATTACTTTCTTGTTATCTCCTCTTGAAGTGTCCACATGAGCTCAACCGCTTAATAAAACCATCCTATGGCAGCGTTTTAAGAAGAAAATTTTGCTCGCTCAACTTTACTAGATCCTTATTGAATAGGTTCACTTGAATTCGCCATGTTGTTTATGCCTAATGAGATTTCTGCAATCTCAACAAAAACCTCAAAATGAAGGCGACTAGCGTTCTCTCATTCTACTTGTCCATACCCATGTCGTTTGCTTCACCTTTGACAGCGCAGCGGGAGTACCCGTCCTAACCGATAGGTCACCATTAACCCGCTTATCTTTTTCATGGGAAGATCGTTAGTATAGAAGATCACTACCTGAATTTATCGTCATAGTCTCTATTTGAGTCTCAATGTCTTAATATCAGTTCCACCTTCCACCTTTGAAAAAAATAGTCAAGCAAGAAACAATACGCAATGCAAACCAACTCTTCTCAGCGTCTTTCTGCTTATCACAGCACCTCCCTAATGCAAGCCGCTTTGTTTCAAGTTCCAAATAGTAAAAGAGTTGAGAAAGACATTCACCTGCCAACCTCATCATGCAGCATCATGATCTACATAGCAATGATAGCATAGCCGCACCAGACGTAGTACGGATTTGAAACCAACTACTCGGGAAGCCAACGTTCCGCGGAAAAAGAGACTATTGATCCAGCCATTTAACTTTTCACAATGACCCGAGTCCTAGAAGTGTCTGCCGAGTATCAAAAGCTCACAGCAGAGACGATACTATTTCAACCAGTAATCAATTCCAAATTTTGCATGCCAAGGTATCTGCTCTATCAATATCAGTAATCATGCAATCCAATTCCGCCCTTACCATATTCAACAGACTCAGCCTTTTTGATTCCATGGAACCTCCAGAGACTAGGACTTTGCCCTCGGCTCGGGACATCTATGTGCCCTCACCAGACAATGTAGTTGTAGATAGTTCCGGTGACTTCTCTCTCTCCAACCCTTGCCAACTTGAAGAATGGAAGAAAGCATATTACTCAAAACTCCCCTCTCCTAGTCATAAGACTCTCCAATTGTGACATTGGTCTTCTGCTCCAGCACTAGATACTTCCACCGTATGCCAGAAGTAACTTGTATGGTTAGAGATTACATAGATGCTTCCATAAAATTTCCACCCAACCACCTAACCTCCATTAAACACTACCCCGATTCCAACTCAAACACCCCTTCCTTGACTTCCCATCTTACCCCTATCGCAATGTGTGAACCGCATCCGACACCCAATAACCCTCGCCAAATGCCATTTAATCCCGCTCCTAATCCCCAAAGGCCACACCTCCGTAACCACATCCCTCTATCCCCTCAACCCCAACACCACCTTCCCACAAACCATCAATTTCCAATCATCACTCCAAACCAGACAATGACCAGATAAAGAAAGTGAAAATGAAATACAAGTTTCTACCTTGACACTGTTACGCGGCTCCCAAACCTGAGATACCACCCACGAAAGAAGAAGAACAAGACGAAACGAAGTCATGATAAAAGATACAGAATGAGGAACATACGTTGCTTTCCCCAAGAAGGCGAACCAAGCAACCACCAGTACATCATTCTAGCATCTCACATCACAACCTACATCGCCAACTCCTCAGAAGCTTGTACTGCACGTGTGTACGTACACGTTCCCCAAGATTCAGGAATCCCACCAAACATAGCTGGTTAGATAGGCCTGAATAAAGCGCTAGGCAGCCTGTTCGTCACTTTTTACAAGTTCGTGAAGCTACTCGCCCTCGCAGAAAGGCCTAGGGGCCATGACACCCCAAAAAAACATATTCCCTCTTCCGTGTGAGCTTGCGGAAAATGTAAGTGGATATCCTTTCCATATATTCAGCAACCCAGGAACAAAGTAGCAGAATAGCAAAGAACCCAAGAAACAATTCAACATCCCCTACCAAACCCAAGGGCAAACAAAAAAATAAGTCATCGATTGAAGAACACTATAAACCTACAAAGATAATTCATTTCCCTTTTTCCCTTTTTGAATCTTTCCCCTACAAAGCAAAAGAGAGAGAAAAGGAACGTGATAAACCCATTTACCTAAAAGAATCTAGAAAAAATCCTCAAAAACATCCATCGCACCAATCTCCAATCTCCAATTTCCAATCTCCAATCTCCCAGTCCCTAGTCCCTCAAACCCCAGAAAATAGATATTATCCTCCTACCCTATCTCTGCTCCCTCCTGATCGTACAGTACAACCCAAACCCACTCACCAAGAACCCGCCACCCCTCCAGATCCAGATCGAAATCCAAATCTAACTCAGATGGCACCCAGTACCTACAATACCAAGTGCAAGAGCAAGTGCAACTACAACCAGTACCCACTCACTCACCCTCTCAATCCCACCAACTGCCTCTACCTCTTCCACACCCACCTCTCACTCTCCACCATCTATATCACTTACCCATAAACACAAACAAACACAAGCTCCACCTCAGTCCATTGTCCTTCACCTCCCCTTCCCCATCAATATAACGAGTAAACCCCGCCTCATCCACCGCACCACCTCAACAGCCCACCTCACCACTCACAGCAACACCATCTTACCTTATCCATACCATACCATAACATACCATCCCTACCCTCCCATCCCCTCTCATCACATACCGAGCTGTCACATCCTCATACCCCTACCCCTCACCCAACCCTAACACCCCTCAACCACCCTATCCCCCTCAAAACACCACACAAGAGACGCCCTAAAACCTACCTACCTACCTACATACTTACAACTTCCCCACTTCCCACTTCCAACTTCTCACTTCTCCCTTATGCCAACACACAAAGCTACCTACCTACCTACAAAAAGCGACACACAAACACACATAAACCACCAGACCACCAGACCGCCCCCCTCCCACTGCTCCCCCCAGAACCAGAACTCATCCATCAATCCCCTATCAATACAGTATTACCCTACCAACAACATACAGTACCAAGATCCCCCCTCCCCCCATTTTACATACTCAACTCAACTCATCTCCATTCATCTCAACCCAATTCAACCCAACCCAAACCACCATTCCATCTATCTCATCCCACTTCTAGAAAAGCAACTTGAAAGGATAATACACATCCTTATACCAAAGCATGAATTTAATATAAATCTACAGTACGCATAAAAACCCAAACCCGCACTCAAAAGAAAAGCGAAAGAAAAAGGGAAAAATGAAGGGGGTATACTACAAACAAACTAGAACAACCACCCACGAACCCAAACAAAACAAGAAAAATACGCAAACAAACAATAAACCTCGAGGATCCCAAAAATTCTTTTTCCCTTCCCGCTGACCCATCTGTCATGCCATAAAAACAATTCTCGCTTTTCTCATTCCAGTCCATTTCCCATCCCATCATCCCACATCCCACCATTCATCATTATTAATTAACGTAACCACCATGAGACCTCCCACCCCTCCAACCTCATTCTAAGCCTAAAAGTATTACATCCCCATCATTCAAGCATCTTCTCTCCCCTTCTCCTTCGTAAAAGTAACCCACCTATCTAACCCGCCCTTCGCCTTCCTAGCAGCCTCCCCGTGAAATCTTTCCTCGTACCAAAGAGCCGGCACAAGCAACCGATACGGCATAGTAATACCCGCGGGATCCTTATGACTAACCTCCATATTCAGAGAGATATCCAGTCCACCTTCAAGATCAATCTTGGTATACCCGGACTTGCGTTGTTTCTGCGAGAGTCCCGTAGGCGTACGATGGAAATTGCGCTTGTTGAATCCTCGTTGGGGCTGGCCACCCGCGACCGAGGTCGAAGCTCCGTGAGCAGGGTTCGCAGGTACACGACCCCAAGTACCGTTCGTTTCGGGGAAGTATCCTTCTTCTTCGTCATCGCACGCTGAAGATCCAGCTCCTCCTCGAAGACGCACCTGGCGCGGAGGGCTATGGTAGTCTTCAGAGTAGTCATCGTCGCTATCTTCACCATAGCCATTAATCCCACCACTATCTGGCTTTCGTTTGCTACTTCTTCGGAAGAGGCTTCCGCCACCAGTTGAGGCTCTTCTTGTCAGTGACAGAGTTCTTGTTAATGACAAAGTTCTAGTCAGGAGTCCTGGACGCTCAGAATCAGTTGAACTACGGCGTGTCATTGATGCTCTCCTGTTAAAGAATCCCTGGTTCGACAGCGGGGGTGCTCCAGATCCCTCTGCGCGATACATAGGTCCACGTGTGGTTGTTGAAAGTCTTCGCAAGAGGCCACCTCGAGTTGGTGGTGGTGTTCGACTCCCATCTGTTTGAGTTTGAGGGCTTGGCGGAGGAGACAGTTCTGGATCATATGGTCTGATGGAGCACCAGTTACGGCGATTTAAGAGGCATTTGTTGTTTCTGGGCTTGCCGTTGACGTCATGGGTAAATATTGGAATCATATCCTCGTCAGTATCCTCGTCAAGATGATGGACCTTATTCCGCTTGTTAAGTACATCAGCAAGAGCATCAGGGGGTGGTGCGTTAGCAATTGCCGAAGATATGACATTGGGCATGTAGCGATGATCTTTATCCTTGGGAATGCCGAGTTTTGGGTTAGAATAGAATTGCCCAATTGCTCCTAGATGCACATCGCCACTATCCATGTCAGTCTCTTCATCCAGAGCTTGATTGATTTGTCTTACCCTAAGATCGTAACTCGCACGGACTTCACGGCAGCCAAATCTTGCAATTTCTGAATGAACCAGTTCCGTTCTCCCTTGTGAAGCTTTGCAGTCCAGTGATCATCCAGGTCATCCAAAATCTCGACACCCCCATCCAAATGATTGAGGAGATTATTCCCGAAAATTCCAGCCCGTCCGAGTGCTTTGACTGGTTGGAAAGCCCGCGACGTAAGTCTACTTGACAGTTAGTCCATCTGATACAAATATAACAACGTCAAAGTTGGACTCACATGTTCTCGAGCCAAACCATTCTAGGGTATGCAACTGGAACACCGAGCATGACAATGAGATGTTTGGTGACACCCTTGATCATCTCTCTCTCAAGCCGATCAAATATTTTATCGTATGTCTCAGTTCTTACTATTTCATCTTCCATCCGCTCAGTTCGACAATCCATACCCAAAAATGTGATACCTCGTCCAAGCTCTGTACAGATACTGCGACTAACTTCTCTTATGTATGGACCAGGTGTATCACCCAAGATCCACTGAGGCTCGGTGTCTTCCCCTTCGTCAATACTACTTTGGTGCTGGAAAAGCATGTAATATTTAAAGGCTATTGCTCCCAGACCTCGCATGACAGGTGAAAGCATGTGACGGTCCGGGTACGAGCCGTAACCATCAATTATATCATGGTCATCAAATATGTTGACCATAGGAATTTGTGTCATAGCAAGTCCGAAAAGACCTTGCGAAAACCACATACAGTACCGGTTGAGGTAGAACGACTCGAGCTCCTGTTGGAGTTCGGCTGTAAAAGGGATATTTTCCTTGTGATGTGAACCATTGAGTCGTGTCCACTCTTTGAAGATTACCGTCTCATGCATTACTGCATCGTTGTAAATTTGGTCACCGCCCCCAAGCATGACGTGGAATGGCTGGGTTTGGTGGTTGTTCAATACGTCCCTCCAGAGAGGATCTGGTCCATTCAATTGATTAGGATCGATGCCATAACTGAAACCGTTGCAACTGCTGTACATGATGTTCATTGGTTGACCGCGGGCTGGTACCCAAAAGCCTGTCGCTGGACCACGATTAATACGGTAAGCAATTCGTTGTTGTTTAGTGCGAAGTTCAATTTCGAGGTTGAATCTCCAGAACGTGACACCTTGCTCTGTATGTAAGCGAAACCCTCTTACTTCCTTGTATTTGCCAGCCTTTTCTCCGTCGTAGTGTGGCCTTGCGCATTTTTTGTCATTGCTACCGTCCAAGTTACTTCTCTGCATTTCAAACAAACCATCATCAGACTCTTCTTTCGATAGATCTCGCCCTTCTTCAAGATCCTCAACAGGTCGTACGTAGAGGGTTCTACCATCTCTACCGATTTTGGGAAGTCCTGCAAGTGGGTCAACATATTCAGGAGCAAGTCCAGCACCATCAACTTGTGAAGGAGGCGGCGGCAAAAGGTCCATTGGTTGGAGAAATAATCGCAAAGTTGGAGCTAATTCGTATGAGGACTGAGCATCTTGGGTCACAATCATAATCGTTCCTCTCCATATTTCTCTCTCGTGATTGACACCAGTAAGTGCTCGAACTGCACGAGAAGGCGCGGCTTCGCGACGAAGTCCACAGTATCGTAGCATTGGGCCTGCTCTCATATGTAGAGGTGGTTTGAATCTAGTTGGGGCTATTTCATTTCGGACGCGGATGCCCCGCATCGGACAGGTTAGCTTATGAACGTTTGGATTGGATGAGTTGGTAAATTGAGAAAGATTATCCATGGACTTGGAAGGCGACAAATGAGAAGGAACATGAAGCAGTTTTGCAGAGGTGTCCTTGAATGACTCCGAGACCGTCTCGCCTGTCACCCGCCCCTGCATACCTTCCCTCTTCTTGTCGGGCCCAAGATACTGACGCCGGCTAGGGCTAACCTTCGTCAAAACCTTGCGAGCACCAGGAAAACGCTTCTTTTCTATATTTTGACAATCACACATGTCGCCAACATTCCTGGGGGGTGAGTCTTGAATTTCCATACCGTTTTTGTCATCGTATTCTCCATCGTAGGCTTCTGCTCGACGGGGTTTGCTTGTACTCGGATGTCGCTTCCCAGTATTCCCGGCTTCCCACCATGCCTTATCTTTCTCGAGCTCAATCTGCTCATCATTCTCAAGATCCAGCAATGATCCAGACAATTGAGCTACTCCACCTTTTTTCCATTCATCAAGTCTGGTCGATGGGGTGTAGACTCGTTGTCCGGATGTATTTTCATAATGCCGATTTAGCAAGTCTGAAATATGATGGTGGTTTTCTACTGATCTTTCTTCAGAAGCACCTCGTGTTTCATTGCTCACAGACCTAGTAAATGAGGACCCATGTTTTGTATCATTGGCTTTCACACTTTCTGTTGCTCGACCATTTCCTGGCTGTATTGACTGTAGAGCACCCTGTGAGAAATTTTGTCCTGTCAGCTGCTGAACTTTGCTCAAAGTTTTGCGCCGAACAGGTTTGTTGCCCATATCGTCACTTGAATAAGAATCGATGTGCCTAGCGGACTCCGTGGGTGATGGTGGAAGCTCCTTGTCCACAGACACTCGAGGATGACAGTGAAATGCTGTCCCTCTAGGTGGGCCTTCGCTTTTCTGATCAATGGCAGGTGGTTTTGAAGAATTCTGCTTTCCAGCCTCAACTCGACGTTGCGACCAAGGATCTCCGGGAGGTTCTTTCTTGAGTCTATTGCTCCCGCTTCGGCCAAGTTGTGCACTTACTACACCGGCAGTGGCCCCGGCTACTGCAGCTGGAATAATTGGTCGATCACGAGTACTTTGTCCACGGCGGGGCGACGATGAAGTCTCTTGTTCTGTGAACTTCCTGGTTCTTTCGGGCTCTTCGTAACTAACAGCTCGAATAGAACTTTTGGCGGGAGAATCGACCGGCTTTCGTTTTTCCAGAGTTTTCTTCCTTTGCGGCGAATCGGTTTGTTCAGTGGTTATGCTTGTCTCTGCGCTGGCATCTGGTAAGTCTCGAGGCTCTGGTCTAATGCCGCCCTCAGGAGCTTTTGCAACTGGTCGATTTCTGAACCGAACCGAGTTCTGTTTGCCTTTCTCCCCGTTGCGTTCCGCCTTTGCGAGTCTTTCGGCCTCCTCGACCCGAGCTCTTTTCTCCTCTTTAGTAATACTATCAAGTGTCAATTCGAGCCTCTGCAGAGGGGATCGATCAGGTGCCCAGTCCCGTCTTCTTTGAGATTCTCCTTGTGAAGCTAGGGAGCCTTGTCTCCGCTGACGTTGAGGAACGTCGATTCGTTCAGGTACTGTAGTATCCCATTCCAGCTCATCATGCGCTCCTGCTCGACCTTTTTGTGCACTACTTCTCCTAGAGCCTGATGTAGAGTTTCCTTCTCGTGGATTTGAACGATAGTACTCGTTTGCTACACCTTGACTTGAGGTAATTGGTCCTTCTGACCGTCTTGCTGACCTCGAACGTGCAGGCGGACCGGCGTTATATGGTTGTCTGTAGCTAACGGGAGGTGGTGGTCGAGGAACGTCTGGAGCTGCGGGAGGAGCTTGATCTCTATTCCTGCTTTCTCGCCGTCTTCGTTTTTCCAAGTAATCGTTATTCGCAGAGGAAGGTGCCTCGTACGGTAAGGAAGGCGGTCGAGGAGCCAGTCCTCTCACACCGAAACTAGAGTCTGTCGGAGAAACGAATGGGCTCTGCGTAGAGACCGTGGGCGCATCGGTTTGTGTAGAGCTTCTTTCCGGTCGACGAGTGGACTGAGAAGAGACTCGATTTGACGACCGGTCAGGTTTGGTGTCAATGGACAGGTCGTTCCTGCCATCTGGATCCATTTTGGTATTGCTGGTACTGGTCCGCCTATCGCGAAGATCTCTCGCTTCTCGGTCGTCCCTTCCGTCTTTCATCTCTTGTTCTTGCTTCAGCGAATTCCCGCGAACAATTTTTGGGGGAGGAAGTGCGCCCCAGTATGGGGTAGGTGCCATAGACATATAGCAGTTACCTATAGATAGATGATTTTATCCACGCTACGCTCCGCCACGCCACGAAAATTGGCCTTCGGAAAGTGAGTCGCAATGCTGTAGCTTCCCGGGTTCAATCGGAAAACCGGCGTTGGTCGCACAATTCTTCCCAGCTGCTGGCAGGGAGGGCGAAGCAAAAGCAAAAGCAATTGGAGGTTCGTCGTCATCAACCAACTACTTGCGCGTTTCTATGCGCCGATGAGTGTAGCAAGCGAATCAGTGCAGAAAAAACGAGTTGGAAGCTGTGAGGGGCATAGTGAGACGGCAATGAAGGATAGCTAGCATGCAAGTGTGCGAGATTGCACGATGGTGATGGTAAAAGTTGGTCAGTGGTTCTCAAGCTGTCGCAAGAGGTTGGGCATGAAAGATGGGAAGGACAGGGATGTGTGGTGGCTGGAAGAGCTTCACTTCTTGGCAGTTCAATTCCGACTGCCCCGGGGCGGGAAGACAAACGCAGAAGGTTGTACCGGTTGTACGAGTACCCATCATGGGGATGCGGTGTGAGTGTCAAGGTTTTTCTCGAGGTATCAAATGTACTAGACGAAGTCATTGACGCTAATTCATTGATGTTTCTGCAAGGCAGGAGAACTATCGAAAGTTAGAACATGTGAGGATCAGGAATATTGTGAAGATCAGAATATAACAAAGTAGAGAGCCATTCAATTGAACGGCGGCACAGCCAATTGGCTGACTAAATCACTCTAGAATGGTTCAATTCAATTCAGAAGCTATGTTTATGGCCAATTCCACTTGCCTGGCAAAAGATTGACGATTTGCCAGACCAATCGAGATCAATCGCATAGCCGTCCCTTCGTCTTTTATTTCCTGTATGCTTTCGCCTCTCTCCTCCACCAATCCTTGAAGTCCATCGTAGCGACATTGATACCCAAATCCTTCAATGCCTCGTTGGACAAATGACAGTCGTATGGCCGTTGCACACTGGCATTCGGATCATTGCCTTCAGTATTAGCTTGCATGCCCTGCAGAGGCAGCCCCATGATCTCGGCGAACAACTCGCAAATCTCGTACTTGGTAAATCGGTCTTCCGAGGAAAACTGTAAAATAGTTGGGATTGGAGCTTTATCTTCTGTCGATAGCCATTTCGTCGATAGCTCTAAGGTTTATGTCAGCGAATACGATCCCATCCGCGAAAGCCGGGAAACTCACCCTCGCACACGCGTGCAACATCCTCTGTATTTGTGGGATAGCGGATGGCCCAATGATCCATCTTGACCACCGCATCCTTCTCCTGGGCCTTCCAGACAGAGTTCATCAGCACGTTGACAGCGCTCTCCTCCGGCTTTTCTGCCTCGCCATATAGGACTGGCACTCTCAAGACTACACCCCAGCCTGCCTTCCCCGCCTTCTCCATCTCGCTCAAGACTGCCTTCTCGCCCTCATATTTGGTATCTCCGTATAGGTTCGGGGGGTTTGGCTTGCTGTCGACTTCATATGGAGCATCGCCCTCTGTGCCGGGAAACACATAGTCGGTCGAGATGTAGAGGAGGAAGATGGATTTAGCAGCGCAGAGTTTGGCTAGGGAAGCAGAGGCAGCAACGTTCAGAGCTCGTGTGCCTTCGGGGTCACTATCGCATTTGTCTGGGAATCGATTCGCAGCACCTGGAGAGTGTCGTCAGTGTTTGCTGTGCGCCGCAGGGTAGAATAAAGGGTAAAGTTTGCACTCACAATGAACCACAACCAAAGGTCTTCAGATGCTCCTGCGTGTCAGTGCTGTAATGTGAAATGGAACGTAGCATAGAAACGTACTTGACCTCGTCCAGTGCTTTGGTGATCTCAGCCTCGGAGCTCAAGTCCAGCTTCATGATTGAAGGCGGCTTTGCGCGTGTGAATCCGGTGCCCTTGACATCCCAACCAGCTCGTTGAAACTCCTTGACGACCTGTCGGCCGAGGAGGCCTGTTGCGCCTGTGATGAGAGCTCTTTGGGTCATCGTGGACTCCAGTTGCGTGGTTTGATCGTTGGCGCTGGGTCTGGCGCTGGGTCTGGCGCTTTGCCCAGCTCGCCTGGAAATGCAACATTTGAACATTTTTGTGTAGTAGCGTGGCGCGTCGGGTCACGACACAACAGCAGCTCCAACTTTTAATGGCAGGATGGATGGAAGAGAGGATACTCGTAGGTTAGAGTTTATTTCCTTGCAACCAGATAAACCTAGTTATGGTGGTTGTGTTCGCAGTTGTAGCCGTACCTATCTACCATCCAAGCAATACACGTACGCGTCCTCACTCCGTCCCTCTGCCATGGCCTCGGTGTTGGTGCATCTCATCGTCCATCGTATCATCCATCGTATCCACCAAACTCTTCCTCACGACACCCCACAAAGGACATGCGCGCAACGAAAAGGATCTTCTTCCGAAGAAATGTGTGTTTCCAAAGATTCCCTATCAGGCCGGAGCCCAACAGGAGCGGTCATGGTATAGTTTTCAACTAGCAAAAACGCAAACTCGGACGAATCCTCACTGTTGTGCGTAAAACCCATGCACTAAGATGGAGAGGAAAGGAAGGATTTTTGGAAGGGGGAGCTCTGTTATTTATACCTGGACGGGCACTCGTAAGCGAGCGGTAAACGCCGCTGCCAAGACAATTTGCTCAAACTGAAAGTCAGGTGATTACGGTGGGAGGCGGAAGTTACGACTTGAGGTGTCAACATTTATTCAATATGGAAGGTACGACCAGCAACATCATTTGCAGCCTTCACTATCCCGGAGCTTCTCCTCCAAAGCAGGTGAGAGAGAGGGATGAGTGAAGAGACCTCGGGATCCTTCCAAGGCTCACATCACCCATTCGTCTCATTACTGGACACCAATAATTCTCAATACACCTGAGTGCCTGGCATTAGACCGTCACATTGAACAGTGTGTAAGTCAATTCATCATCTCAAGTTCTGACTACTCAGTACATTCAGTAGAGCCATATCTATCGTGTCAAGTAAAAACCCCAAGTTCAAAGTAGTCACAGGCACAACAACAGGCTCCGGAGTCACTGCGATCACGGACCCTTCAAACCTCAAATATCGCCCGCCCAAAGATGCTGGTCCCTCAATCGTGATGCTCCTTGCCAAAGATAGTCAATCTGACCTCCTCGCCTGCAATATTTGTAACTTGACAATCCTCTGCACCTCTGACCCTCCAAAGTCCTCCCTCGTTGATTCGAAAGCTCTTTCCATCTTGGCGATTGTTATCGGTCACCATGACGAGCAACGGTCCGCCTTTGGTAACTTCACAAAGCACAACCCCTCCTTTCTCAGCCTTGATATCACGAGTGTTACCAGCTGAAAGCATGAGAATACGACAAGTGCTGTCACCATATATGATGGTCCTATCCGGAGCTGACTCGAGGTAGACGGTTGAGTATGCGATATCTGGTACTCATTAGTATGAAGTTGAAGCAATGGAAAGGGAGGAAGTGACTTACTTTCTTCCATCTCGGCATCACCACTTCCAATGACAAGTCCTCTAACCTTTCCTATCGTCTCCTCCCAATCATCATCCACTGCTTCACGTCTTCGAGTTTGCAGCGAGGACTTTGCTTTGACGGGAAGTGGCTCGAACGCAACACGACGAGGGATTGGCTTGGCGAACATATCATCCGAGATGTTGCTGAGCTGCTTTCTCATGGAAGAGGCAATTCCAGCTCTGCCAGCATGTTCAGTGACAGTACTTGGCAAAGGGGTTTTGGCTTTCCTGGTGGATTTTTTTGGCAATTTCTTTGGCGACTCCTGCTTGATGGCGTTGAGAGATTGGGTGCTGTTGGAGCCGTGAATACGTGGTGGTGGTCGAATTGGTGTCTCAGCACGTTGACCATCTCCATTGCCACTGTCCTCCTCTGCGCTTGGTGTCTTTTCTTGAATGAGGGTTCCAGGAAGTTTGACAGTATCAATGAGCGATATCTTCCTCTCCGTGTCTTCAGCTGCGCTCTCCTCCTCTGTGTTGGCATCATACCCATCGCTTCCAGCCTTTCTACGATCAGCCTTCTTCGAGCCTCCAGACTTACGACGACGCGTGGCTGGTGGTGTTGGGGTGACATTGATGCGCTCGCGGTCACTCACCTCGTCTCCGCTGAGAGTGGCCTCTTTCGTGGCATTTTTGTGCTTGCGGAAAGGCAATGAGGCGCCTGGAACTTGGCTCGCGATATCCTCCTCATCATCGTTGCCTCCTACAATCTCAGAATGTCTTCTCTTTCGCGTCTTGTGGATCTTGTGCTTCTTCTTTTTCTTCTTCTTACTCTTCGCGCTGTTGTTGACTTGAGATGAAGGATTAGCGTCAGCTTCCTCATCAGCTGCGTAACCACCGAAGGATGCGAGTGCGTGCTTCATGGTTTGGCTCTCCTGTCGGTTACGTTTGTTTTCAAATTGAGTAGAAGTAGGGGAGGAGAAGCACAATTGGGGCTGGGTTTGATTTTCGGAGGCCATTGTAAGAGGTGGTGGTCTAACAAAGTTGTTTGCCCAAGGTCGGTGGTTGACAACGATGAAAGAACGCGGGATGTTGGTGGGTCCACATGTCGGTTATTATGGCAACCAGGAGTGGCCGTTGCTGCAATGGTGCCTCTTCAAAGGTGAGGCCAACGAGCAAGCAGATCAGAAACCAGGAACTTGGGATGCCATACAGATCGGAACATCCCAATGCACTCAAAGTAAGTGTGCATATTCTACATACACATACCTATGCAAGGAGGTAATCTAGCAGCCCTAGATATCCAGCCTGGTTTTTCAAGGAAGCTTGGGATGATAAACACTTACAAATCTCATGAAGATTCGCATAGTTGACTTGACTGCATGAGACTTGAAAGGAGATTGTACTTCTCCCTAGGTCTTGAAGTATCTAAGTAGGTATAGCTCCAGCTTTATTCCGCTCTCAATTAATAACTGGTGAATAGAACTTGACGGTATTCATTCCGTTCTCAGGAGTGAATGCTACATGGCAAGGCGAAGCGAACCCCGGGATGATGGAGCAACTTTGGTCTTGTTTTTTCCAACCCTTCGTTTCCCTTCAACGCGATTTGGAATCCGCAGTCCTCCAACAACAAACCTCGCAGGACTCTTGACGACCACCACCACACCAAGCAGTGAGACATCCTTCCCGCCTACAGGCAACTATTCAAATATATTCGACAGTCCTCAAGTTGTTATAGCTCCTGAGATGGCGAACACAGCACCTGCCCGCGGGGAGAACCCGACGTCCACCACCCCCGTCACCTCTACGTATGTTTCTCATGCTATTCATATCGCTTGAACTTGGAAACTAATTATCGATCCTAGCATGCTCTCCTCTGGCCGATACTCTGACCTTGTATTCGTCTGCAAGGGAAAATCGTTCAAGGTACACAAGGCAGTCGTCTGCCTTCAAAGCAAACCCATCGCAGCTGCCATCGATGGTGGATTCAAGGTAAGTTTATATTGCCCTAACTTTTTTTCGCGTTTGATTCAACAGACCGCAGCTAACTCCTAATGCAGGAAGCCGTTGAGTGCAAGTTTGAGTTCGAGGAAGAGGACCCAAAGACCGTCGAACTATTCGTCAAATTCCTCTACTTGCGTGAGTACAACGACGGCAGCCGCAAGCAAGAAGCAAGCGAGAGTACAAGAGCCGGTCCATTATTTACCAAGGCTGGTCATGCAGACATCCGCGGCGTAAAGGACTTTGAGATCTTGCGCAATTACGAGGCCACTATGTATTTAAACAACGGCAGAGAATGGTGGAAGAACTACAACCCCGTCGGATCCCAATCTACCACCACCAACCCTAACACTGCCTCCACCAATCCTCCAAAATACACCCACAACAACCTCGCCCTCCTCCAAAACGCAAAGCTCTACATCATGGCCGAAAAATACGACGTCCAACCCCTCAAATTCCTCGCCGAGCAAAAATACACCGTCCTCGCCCCCTCTACCTGGAACAGCCCCTCCTTCATCACCAGCCTCCGTCTCCTCTACGAGGGCACTTCCGAATCCGACTCTCTCATGAACTACGCCATCCGCATCGCCTCGCACCACGTCAGCATCCTCATCGACCGTCCGGACTACGCCCTTCTCTGCAAGGATCACGGCGAGCTCGGCTTCGAGATCATGAAGGCGCTTGCGCAACGACGACACGCTTGTGACACTCCCCCTCCTCCTATTCCGGTCTGTGATGAGTGTCGGCAGAGTTTCTATAAGTGTGTTTGTGGTGCGGCGGCTTTTGCGAAGAGCTATGCGACGATGGTGCGCGAGGCGGGCTTGGATCCTAGGACTGCTTTTAATGCTTCTAGAGGTCGTACTGGTGGTGGTGCTGGTGCTAGTGGTTCGTGTGCGCGGCATGGTCGAAATTAGGGGTTTATACTTGCTGTATACTGCCTAGGAACTTACATATTTGGTGTTCTTTTGAGATGGGAAATAAGTAGTACCGTACCCGTAAATGATGATTAGTAAATACAAGCTTTCTCTACCGATCTTAGATTCTTTTCTCGTGTGATTCTTAAAGTAAATAAGGATTTCTTCATCTAAGTGAATGAACAAAATATAAACCTGTTTTCTCTGTAAATCCTAATCTCTACCCACTTAATAAAATTCTCCTTACCCTATAAACAAATAGAATTATCTAACTATCTACCGAGAAATCCCTTTTAAGAAACTTATCTTAAAGTGAGCTAGGGTATATAATTACTCTAAAAAAATAGGTAACGTAAGAAAGAAAGGGGGTTATTAGATTTTACGTTTTACGTTTTTAGTATAGCGTTTTAGGGTTTTTATAGGGCTTTAGTTTACTAAAAAGATAAAAGAATAAGGAAGTAGGGCTTTTTAAAGTAGAGAGGGTAAGGACAGTTAGTTAGTAGAGTTATTAAGTATAAGAAACGTATTAGGATTTAATGATATAGTGTCTATAGAAGGATATTTAAGGCTAGATATTTTATTGCCGGATAGATGATGGGTGGCTGAGGTAAGAAATGGGTAAAGATAAGGTGGTGGAGACGTGGAGAGAGAAAAGGGTAATGTTAGGTAGTTAAGGGAGTGAATATAGCGAGTGTAGAGAGGGGAAGGGAGGGGAGGGGTAGGCTGTGGTAGTTGTAATGAGGAAGAGAAGGGATGGAATAAGAGGTAATAAGGAGAAGGAGATGAGAGGGGGATAAGATAAATCTTGAGAGGGGAGGGAGGAATGTTGAAAGTTGTATGCGTTACTTGAAAAGATAGGGAAGTATAGAAGTATAGAAGTATAGAATAGGGGGCGAAGGCGAGTAGGGGATCTAATGTGGTATTATAGTAGAAGGAGAGGAGATAACGTATATACTAAGGAGAGAATAACAAGAAGAAGAAAATAGGAGACGGGAACTTGGAAAAGGTAAAGCGAGCTTGTAAGGTAGTCGTAGTTAATTGTGAGGGTTGGAACCCATGATGGAGGCTCGGGCCATGCCCTCGCTAAGCACTGACCAAAGTCCTCGTTAAGCACTGACCAAAGTCCCTGCTTAGCACTGGCCATTACCCCACTGCCAAACAGGTTTCTACTTTTCCACACTTTCTTGTTTTGTTCTTCTGACATCATGTATTCGTCATTCAAGTTTCTTGCAAGTTTCTTGGAACATTCAGGAAGCTCTTCCTCTCTATATATAGAGGAAGAGCTCGCATGTATATAGTCTTCACGCACCTCTTAATTGAATATTCGAAACCACACCTTTGAGCTATTCGAGGTCTGGCCTCTCACATTAATAATAAAATGAGAGAACGGGGTATTAAGAGGAAACGGGAGGATGGAAAAGTATTAGGACGCTTACCGATACGTACACGAGGCTTACTATTATAATAGCTACTGTTGGTGTAAAGACTAGGGTTTGGTAAAGGATGTGTGAGTTTAGTATATTTTACGCGAGTTTTATAAGTGGTGTTTATATTAGGGAGGAAATTGAGGAATGCTATAAGAAGCGATGTTTTGTATTACATGACAATATATGTTGCGTTGTATCGTAGTAAGATCTAGGTTAGTGTATAGTATCCCCCCTCCTTTCCTCTCCTAGATACCGGGAAAGGAGTAGGAAATCTATATCTTCAGCTAGAAGGAGAGGAAAATAGGTTACTTGTTTAAAAAGAAGTAGATAGGGAGAGGTGGGATTCAGGGGGGGAGTAGGAAGGAGAGGACAAAATAAGGTGGAAAAATAAGGCTATTCGTAGGTACGCTAGGTTCGTCGAAAGTATAGTGACTACGTAAGTACGCAAGGTCGCAAGGTTCGGAATATCCCGATAGATACCCTTACCCTGACCCCTAGGTGTAGATTAAGGACGTGTATTTCTATCTAATTTCTACCTGTTTTACTACTAACCAGTGACTACTACGTAGACCTACTAAAACTTATAATACCAAGCCTTAGGAGTACTCCTGCCCTCTCCTATCCGAGACCCTAGCAAGGAGAAGGAGTACTAATTGGCTAGGATTGTAGTAGGAAAAAGAGCTCTCTAATTTATACAGATAGGAACGGAGATTCCGGTAGAAAAGAGTGGCGGGGAGGACTTCGGAGGGGAGATACTATACACTGAACTAGGTAGTGCCCTCGTTTAACTTCACTCCCTTTTCCACCGCTAAAAACCCCTTTAGTAAACAAGGTTACAAAAATAGAAGCAAAACATACACCAAACAGAAAATCAGCAAAATGCTCAAGGTTCTGGCAATATCATCATCATTATTCCAATACATATTCTTACATGTTCTTCCATTCATTTGCACCAATATCCCGTAGCACAAAATGTGCTGGACTTGCAGGTTGGGCTCGAGGTGAGGATCCAAGGGGAGAAGGTAAGTCTTTTTACAGAAGAAGTTGAAGAAGAGTTCTCTCTGTGCTAATATGGATCTGGATTTTGGGCTTATATTTGAGGTGATGTTACTGTAATGGGGACGTGTGGCAGTGTCTCATGCATGGTGGGGGCGGGGCAAATGAGACTGACCCGAACATGAGCCGAGGCCTCCCAAAATTTACAGTACCCCTCACCCTCACCCAAAACCTTTTCGAGAAAATCAAAGCCAACGAACGCGACACCAGCAACCACAAGCCATGGCTCCCACTCCCAATATCACAGAGGACGAAATCGATGACCTGCTCTACTTTGCCCGTACTGGAGATCCCGAAGAGCTCAATTCTGCAAAGACTGCCATCTGCCAGCGAGAAAATGTTTCTGTCCAGGGCTTGTTAGAGGTCGCGAAGGACGAAAATACAGGCAACGGAGTTCTACATATGGCAGCCGCAAATGGTTATAATGGTACGTCCCAAGGGCATGTATTCTGCTGCTTATCTGCTGCAGATGTTGGAATATATTGAATCCTACTCATGGCTGACGATGAATCGCTCTAGGAATTCTCCAAGAATTATGCAAAGACCTATCGCAACCGACTCCTCAGAACCCCGCCATGCTCGCCATCATCAACGCTCAAAATATTGCTGGTAATACTGCGCTCCATTGGGCTGCCTTGAATGGCCATCTGGAATCAGTGAAAGTTCTACTAGAACAAGGCGCGGATCCTACAATCACGAATCGGAGAGGCCATGATGCAGTTTATGAAGCCGAATTGAATGACAAGAAAGAAGTCGTTGAGTGGGTTCTCAAAGAGGGCGGCGAAGGCTTGGAAGAGGGAGTCAGTGGAGAGGCAGGTGAAGGGGCTGCTGATGACGGTGCGGATGAGGACATGAGCGAGGAGGACGCAATCGTCAACAGCGAGGATCTTTCGAAGAATATTGTGGATGAATTGAAGAGTATGGGCATTGATGGTAAAGTCCCAACGACATGATACCCAGAATCTCGAATATGTGAATTCAGCGATAAAATCACCAATTGGGGGATACCTTGTCTCCGCCATTCATCCGCCCAGATGAAGAATTGTTCGTGGTCGACATGACCCGGGGATATCCTGCTGCACATTTTACCTCCAGTGGCGCGGTTTGCATGGCCGTCACGCGGATCTCATCGAGCTCTCCGAGAATAAGGACGAGTTACACGCTTGATGGAAGTGCTTTTGATTTGTCGGTAGAGGATCCGTCAGCGGTTAAACTACTCATGGCCTGTTTATTTACGCAGCAAGAGTTCGCTACCAATCGAAATTCAGACGAGGAAGACCGTTGAAGAACATTGGGTAATGCCAACTCAAAATTGAAATTGGGTTCAAATCTTTTCTGAATCTTCTTTCTCAACGATTGTTCAAGTTTCTTATACGTGCATAACTATTGATGACGGTTAAGTACCGTTTTAATTTGCCTTCCTCATTCTTACCAGTATAGGAGGGACGTCAGATTTCTGACTACTAGTTTCATTGGCTGTCTTCTCGAGCACTAGCCCTTGGTGTTTTGAGATCCCTAGTGGTCTAGAGATTGTCCAACTGTTCATGTTGCAATCTCCCGTGGAATCTGTGTAGAGCTTCACTGCATTGTATTCAATTGTTTCAACTAACTTCTATTAATATTAGTTAATTTATAAACGCGCTAATAAAGCATGTGAGAATCCTACACCTCTCAGTTACCACCAACAGCTTGTATTACTCGATAAAACTAAACCGAGACACGGAACGCCTTCGCAACACTCGGAACTCCCGCTGAATTTAAAGCAAAAAACATCCAATACCCAGGTAAGGCAACACCGGCGTCATTTGGAATAGAGAAGACATAGTTCTGTCCATCGATTCCTGAGAATGAGATAGTGGGCACAAGTGGAATCCGCCTCTGATCCGTATTCACAGTATGAGTCGCAGAACCGAATCGAACAATTGAGAAACTCGATGCGGCCGTATGAGTGGTAATTGAGATCGTTCCGCCTACTACTACAGCTTCTGCCGAAATTGACATGATCACAGGTCGTGTTGCCAAAGCTCCTGTTGAGGCAAAGAGATAAGGAGGACTATAGATCTGCGCATCAAGATGGTTGGTTGAGCAAGATGCACAAAGGCCACCCCCTCCAGTAAAGACTCGTCCATCTAGCATAAGTAGGGCAACACTATGGTATGTTCTCGGAATAGCATGCGCTGGAATGATAGTAAAAGCCTGCGTTACAGGATCCCAAAGCTCAGGATTCATGATCGCTGTAGCGTCAGAAAAGGGGACTGCACGTGATTGTCCACCCGTAACAAACACCTTGCCGTTGGGAAGTACAACCGAATTCGCGAAAGCACGAGCATAGGTCATGGAGGTAAGCTTTGTGACCGTGGCGGGAGCTGGTGGTATACCAATGGTAATAAGATGGACATTCTTCGTCGCATCCGAGGGATCGTAGTTTGGCGAACCACCAAATGTAACGATCTTTCCTGCGGCAGCGTCATACATAACTGCATTCCCATCCATGGCATCAGGATCCGCAGCACGAGTTCCGGCAGCGGCTCGTGACCCGGAACCTGAGGTTCCATACCAATTCATTGCTTTACTCGGTCCTGCTTGGAAGACATATCCGTTTTTCCACCCGAAGAGCCAGCCGTGGTTATCGGCTCNTCCATACCAATTCATTGCTTTACTCGGTCCTGCTTGGAAGACATATCCGTTTTTCCACCCGAAGAGCCAGCCGTGGTTATCGGCTCGGTAGGGCCCAGTCGAGTCGGCTGTCAAAATTGGTGCGACGGGACATCCGGAAAGTAAATTCCAGGTGTTGGCGGTTGGGTTGTAGATCTCGCCATTCTTTCCTCCTCGTCCGCCGCTCCAGGAACCGCCGATGGTGAAGATCCTTCCGTCGGAAAGGGTGGCTGATGCTTGGTAGCCGCGGGTGATTTTCATTGCTGCTCCGGCGCTCCAGGCGTTGGTTGAGGAGTCGTAGATGCTGGTCTTGGAGGCGTCGTTTCCGCCTGTGATTATTGCTCTTCCGTTGGCGTCAAGTGACTAGAATGGTTAATGTTAGTCTTTCATTTCTTGTGTAAGATCTTACGGAGGAACGTGGGAGTTAAGCGAGATAGGGGAAGTGGGGGAAGCATGAGATGCAGGGTTGGGCGAGGGGAAAAACGTACCATTCCTGGACAGAACATATCATGTCCTGTATTACTAACATTCAACAGCGACGTCGTGCCATCAGGACTGAAGGTTGACATCAATGTGAACCCTCTTGGTGATCCCGAGAACGCATCTTTCGCAAAAGAAGAAAAAGTAAGAATATTTCCCGAAGGTTGAAGAAAACATGCCGCTGCAACAAGGGGCAATGCAATGACAGATCCCCATTTCCCCCACGCAGCAGTCTGTCTCGAAGTCAAAACTTTAGCTTCGATAGCTTTGGCGTCCTCAGGTCCGGTCTGGGTATTGCCGAATGGGACCATAAGTGCTATGGAACAGCTAAAGCTGCGAAGAACATTGCGAATCAGCATCCTGAGTCGCGATGTATTTTTCTTTTTCCTTCGGGTTCTGTAGTCCTCCCGTTCTCCTTATACTTTTAAGGGCCTTTTGTAAATACGGCTCGGTTATCTGCCGAGGATGCACTGTTCAGAAGGTGACTTGGCACAAAAGAAGAAGGGTAAACCTTGCTATATATTTTAAGTATAAAGTAGAAAACCAATCCAAACAAGTCACTGCACAGATCACCTGGATTGTTCTTGATGGAAATCTAAGTTATATACGTGTCAGGTCAAGCAGCGTGTCTCTTTTTGGAGAACCATCCTCCTGCCGTGATCCAAGGCTTCCCAGTCTGCTCTCCAAATCTCATGCTAACAAAAAACTCAAAGAACACCCCAAATTAGAAAGCAAGGTATACAATGATGCACCTGCATACTGTCGGGGAACATTGGAGTATTGGAAAGTCTATATATTCCACCAGTCAAAGTCTAAAAGGACAACTCCTAAACCACTTTTGCGAGCCGCACTTGCGCTGTCAGAGAAACATGGGATTCTAGGCTGCTTTTTTGTGTGATTATACGAGCTTATGAGAGAATTGCGGTCCTACCGGTTCTTTGTGAGTACGGCATGTGTTGAGATGCGGTGTAATATGTCGCTTACACCGGCATTGGACAGTGTCATCAATTCTAAAATGTCACGGCGAATTGAGGGGGAACTTGTTGATAAGAAAGCCAGAAAGACTGGGAACCGTTACTGGATTTGGTTTTCTATCGGGACTTTTATATGGGAAGTTTCTCGACGTGCTCAAGGCATTGGCAATCGGAAGTCCAGCCGAACGAACCCCATCAGGAAGAGATATAAGAACCCTGTACCAACAGAACCTGGCGACGATCAAGCCAATACAAATTCGGAGGCGATCATAATGCTTTCCCAGAGCCTAGAACCTTCCTGGCGGCAGGCGAGGCTTGCGGGGTAGAATCTCTCTTTCGTTGCCCATCCTTTCCAGGTCACTCCAAGTAATGAATCCAGCAGGCTGGATTGACAACTTTCATCATCCTAAAATGTTCAAGTCACTATTCTGATCACATGATACTGTTCTGACAACTACAACTTATTGTTCTATATATCTAGAACTACAGGTAGTGTTGTATTGTTGAGTCTTTTATGCTCCTCGAGGTTGCAATGTCGCTGACACGCATTTGTACCCCTGTATGATACTGTATTACCATACGCGACGACCCCGCATGTTCGTGAACAGCAATCAAGCGGCACATGATACGTCTTCTCTAGCCACCTCTGTGGAAATGATTAGAAGAATTACAAACACCGCTCTGACCCAGTCATTCAATAAATTAGAAAAATGTGCTGTGAAAATTACAGGCTGCGGCACATTTCATGTATATGAATACCACAATTCTTGTCTAGCGGGTAGAGTAGCATCCTCACCTTCCCTTCCAGGCACCAGAAGTCGCCACCCATCGCGTGGCTTTGGAATGGAGCGAGTCTCGCCAATCACGGTATGGTACAGCTCGGATGTTATCCATTTGACGAATATTATTATTGTTTAATGCAGTCATCCCAGCCACTCTCACACCAGACTATCCAGGCTCTTTTGGGTACCGGTTGCCTTCATGATGCTTTCCATGCTTTGCAACAATTCTCAAGACTTTTGTCTAATTTCTAGGATTCCACTCTGGATCTATGTTTCCCAATTCCAGCTCGTCGAGTACATCACTTAAGCCCACTAGTTTAAAACTCGCCTCATCGCTTGTCCCACCTGTTGCGAGCTCATTACTATCGTCATGAACCACAATCAATCCACTCGGGAACTGCTCGTTCAGTCGATTTCCCACAGCTGTAATGCCATCCGTATTACTCACATGATCTACTCCCCCTTTCGAGTTGACAATCGTAAAGGTCTTTACAAAAGCATGAGGAGGTGCACGCTCATACACGTTGTAAGCAGAAACCCCTTGACAAGAAACGATGATATATCCTTGAGTAGAGTTTTTACCAGGGATAAATGTCACGCCTTCAACATCTGAGTAGAGATATCCAGGTTTGAAGTCAGAGTATGTAGAAACGCTGGCGATCTTTGTGCCTTCTGGTGTAGAGGTTTCGGGCTCTGCGTCGTAGCGCCAGAGTGCTGAGGGTTCTTCTCCGATGAAGATGTAACCGTTTTCTTCATCCGTAACGCAGCCTTCGACTTGGCCACCTGAGCCCCCTATGAAACTTCGTACCAGATTCGTGGAGAGAGTGCCATTCAAAGTGCTTTTCAAAGAATATTGGAGATATTCCGCCTTTTTATTGTTGACGAAGAGATATTGTGTCCCTGTTTTAGGAGATTTGTAAGAGCACGATCCGTACGGTTCGTAGTCTTCTGGGAGTGTTTGAATGCCACCTGCAATATCGGAAAGCGTCCCATTAGGACTCATTGCGAAAAGACAGAGCGTGTTATCTGCTCTACATGCCGCATATGCAAGATCGGAAGTAACATTGTTTCCGAGCGGAAAGTTGTATATCATATCAACATTATTAGGCTCTCCCGCTGGAAATGCTTGAAGAAGCTTGCCTTGAAGATCGAATACACCCAGGCCAGCGCCTTGTTCTGACTTTGTAGTTGTAATAATGCGTGATTGGTCTGGGGATATTGGGGATATCCAGACAGCGGGGTCATCTCCATCGCCACCGTTAGCTGTTGTATCGATTTCTGGTTCAACTAGGAGGAATGAGCAATGAAGTCCACCCCATCCAGGTTGACACTCGCATTCGTTGGCTCCAACACATACGCCGTGGCCAGAACAGTTGTCTATGCAAGTGAAATTTTCACAACAGTCTCCAGCAAAGCCTGCAAAACATTCACAAGAATTTGTTGTAGCTGTTTCCGCGCAGAATCCAGAAGAATTACAGTCGTCACAAATGGGCGTGATCAGATCTTTGCTGGTGAAAGCTGGATCGTACGCGGTGTTGACAGATAGATTCAAAGCTTGAAAAGCAGATTCCAAGGAGCTAATTGCAAATTGTTTCTTCTCAGAATCTTCGAGCGCAAATGCAATATATCCAGCTCGGTAATCGGCGAGGCATCCTTGAAATATGGAAAATCCGCTCACTTCTGGATCCTCAACACCGGCTATCTTCATGGATCCCAAAATGCTGAAGTTTGTTGTCGAGACGAGAATGGAGTCTTTTTGACCGAGGAGGAGATATTCTGAGGATTGGGAAACATAAATAGCAAGCCCGGTAACTCCATCTTCTGCCTCCCCCAAAACTTCAATTTCTGGAATGCTGGTCGATTCGGTTGCCTTGAAGGTATAAATCTCCTTCCCGTCATCTGTGCTGAAATAAACTTGACCTGTCACTGCGGAAGCAGAGCAAGAATTTGCTTCAATAGGAATATTGAAAGTGTGGATCTATATAAAATAAGTATATTGTATGGATAAAATCTTGTGGTCTACTTGCCTCCGTTATTTCAAATACACTGTTCTTCCTGGTCAAATACCGAACCACCTGTTTCTTCCCAAAAAGGTAGAAGTATTGGTTCCCACTGGCAGCACTCTTCCACGTACACAAAGCCGACCAATCACCAAGAGCTGACTTTCTTGCCTCTTCAACTTCTTGTAATCCGTTTACTTCAAAAGCTCGAATGATACTATCCGGTTGTGCGATTGTAAGAATGAGGTCCTTGCCGCCAATATCATAAACGGTAGCTAGTAGCTTAGTTCTCCCAGGAGTTTTCCACTCCTTTTCGACCAAAGTCGAATTGGAACCGGTCGGTAAAGAATACACATGGAAGCCACCTGTAGCTGCTAACCCATCATTTCCCAGAAGAAGTGGCTCTGTCGAATAATATATCGCCGTATTGTCTGATTCCACTTCTGAAGTCTTGGCAGAAATCGCTAGATTCGTCGAAAACACAGTCGTTTGGGATAAAACCCCGACAGCAGCGAGGAAAAGAAAGCGAGAAGACAATAGAATGCACCTCATAACAGCGAGATTTACAGATGGTGGGATGATCCGTGATGAAGATCAGGGGAATGTTCCCATTTTAAGCAACTTCCAACACCCTCGGAAAGAACCACCTTTTTGTTCAACTCCATTATTATCCATTAATGTGATGAATACAGGGTTTGTGATGTGCCGTCCCCTTTTGGGCTCGTGGTTGGTAGTCAGGCCATCATTGGAGCATATTTAAAATGACCTTCTATTCTCGTCTGAATACCCCACGCGCCCCGCCTTTCTTCCCCTTGGCTCTCTGTGGGGGATGGATAAGTCTGGTTCACACGTGATGTGAAAAATACATACAAATACTCTCCGGTTATATATATAGAAACAATACGGAATATTCAAGAAGTCGTATTATAAAAGGAAAGCGGGGATTAACAAAATGTTCTAAAGAGATACTTGCGATGTACGACGACGGCGAGAGTTATGATCGTTATTCCTAGTACACCGAAAGAAAGGCAATAATAATTTCATACTTGAGAAGCTGGAGAAATTCAAATACTTACGAAATAGCTGGAGTTAGTAAGTAACCATTAATCTTGTCTACCCCCAGGTATTTCGGGTAATCCACTCGATAACACAAAACGTCACTCTTTGGGTGCGAGGCAATTTCAGTATTACCAAAAGCTTGAAATACAAAAGTTCGTTCTCAATTAATCAACCATCTAAAACGGTTGTATCGGTTATCCCACCCAATTCAGAAAGTTGAATGCCAAAGTTGTTTACCACAAACCAAGGTAGAACTCAAATCGGGTATGGGAAACATCTCAGCAGAAGTAATGATAGATCCTTCGAAAGATCTGAAGAGTTTGGGAGTGAGTTATCTAATTCAAGGGTAGCCGACGAATGAGTCACCGAGCCTTTGAAGCCTAAACCTTTACTACCTATCTAGTAAATCTTCCGGGGTTTTTATAGGGCAGAAATGGAGCAATACAGGCCAAATTGAGGGGTGCATAGGAAACTACGGCAAAACTTATCTCCGAATTGAGACAACCACATCACAGCATCCAGAATCAAGCCGTTATGCATCAAATCGCAGGCAGAAGTCTGCAAGAGGTATGAAAATCTACTGAGTAATTTACCTGGCTCAAGGCAGAAGTCTGCCTTGCGGCACACATGAATTCGTGACAAGGCAGTGTGAGGCAGTGTGAGGGGCAGAATACCCCGTAAGAGTCACCTCACCCCAGAATTCACCCCAAACTTCTGGTTTCGGCAAGATCAACACCTTGATTAACTTAAATATCTGGAACTGTTTACTTGTCTGATACGAAATACTCTGCTGCATGCGTTGTCATTGCTGTCACTTGTATTTGGTTCGCAACTTTGCCTCGTTGCCTAGCGAGGTGGCAAAAGAAGGTAGAATCTTGGCATTTTTCAGTTACTGATCCTCAGTAAGTGGTTGAAGTAACAAGTATAAAAAGCGTTCTCTCATTGTATTTTATGTTGATTCTTTCACATTGGACATTCAAATTGCTTCAGTTTCTCAAACCTGCTAAACCTTCTCCCATTCACAGTTGTTGTTGGGTGATTCACCTCCTATTATTTACTTTCACCGTATTTGAATAGGAGCTGGTCACGCCACACTCTGACCATAGCCATAACTTCTGTACTACAATCGGTACTAGCGTTAGGACTCATCTATAATATCAAGTAGGTAGGTATTTATCAAGAACCTTACTTACTCTCTTTCCTGTCAACTCTTTACTCTGACTTCCATACTAACATCTAAACCAAATGGAGAATTCCTGTTCGTACCAAGTCACAACCTTTCTCATAGACATATCTATCATGGGAGATGCCAACGCACTTAGTGTTGACCAGGCGCATTCGAAAACGGCTCTTGATTCAGCAGCAATGGACTCCTCCCCAAACGACCCAGCTTCCCCACCATAAGCTAGCGAACCGGGCATGCAATGCGATATCAAAAATCTCTACCAGCTTGAAGATGCTAGAGGCCGGATTTCATGGACAGATCAATACCCCGCAGACGTTCTAGAAGCTGCCGAAAACGAAGTCACTGCTCGCTTTGCGATCCTCGTTCGGAACAAGAAGAGTTTTGATTCGCGAAAGAAACTTGAGATCCATAGTATCGTTGTCCAAAGTCCTTTGTTAAAAAATGTTTTAGTTAAGGATTTAAAGAACTATCCAGGTATGTATCTTCTTTTTCTTTCCTTGAGGAGATGGAGATTTCTAATATGAGTGATTAGGTGTAACTGTAACCCTCAAAAGACTCGAATTCGGCGCACCTCTCAACCCTTTTGTACACCGCTGGTCAGAACTCAAATCAGCTTTGGCAGCTGAGACTCATGAGGAAACCAAGAGCCATCTTCAATTGCTCTACTCAATCTTGGAAGCTGAACTCAAAGACATCATCGCAGCAAGAAACGACCATATTGAGAACCAAGTCATTACATTCTCACATCTCTGGACTATCTTCCAACCAGGTGGCACAATCTACGCACACGAATGAGATAGACGCTGTGCGTTGAAGTTCACACAAGGAGACTACACGAAACATCCAAAATACGGTCCATGCTACAGTCTCGCCGGTCAAAGGGTAGATTGGGATGGGGATCGTTTCGGATACGCACATACACAGCACCTCATTCCATCTTTCGGCGGTACACTACCAATTTCAGAACTCGAGGTTTTCCCCCTCGAATTCCATCCCAACCAAAGGAAGATCCGCGCAAAGTTGATCAAACGAGGGAAAGTCTTTGAGAAGTACCACGGGTATCATTACCAATCCTACAAGGCCTTCGCTCTGGGCAAGAATCATTGCGGGCAAGATATTAAAGTGACAGTCGACTCCAGAATCATCATTGACACATTCGCATTTGGGAAGTTCAATCCGAATCGTGTTCCTGTCCTGTCAAACCTCACACTCAAATCCAAGTCTGAGACTTCAGAGCATGATTCTCATAGCTCTGAGCAATTCAGTGACGATAGTGATGATTACGATGACTTACCAAACGGAACTGGAGTGCAGATGCTAGACGATAGTAAACGTATCCCTCTTAACGACGAGCAACTAACTCATTGCGCAATTATCGTGAAAGGCTACGCACTCAAGATTAAGCAATGGCTTTCCTTCTTCGTCGACGAAGTAAAACCAATCGTCTGGAGCGATTCTGCCTTTAGTAGCCTCGTTCTCCCACCCGCACAAAAGGAAATCATCCGTGCTTTCGTGTCTGCGCAGACGAAGTACAAGGACAACTTCGATGACGTGATTTCTGGGAAGGGAAAGGGCATTACTATGCTGCTCTCTAGTGGTCCTGGTATTGGGAAGACTCTAACCGCTGAGTCTGTGGCTGAAGACATGAAGGTTCCGCTCTATAGTAAGTCTTCTACTGCCTCGCTATCCCCACAGCATTTTCCCGTACCCTCCTTCATACTAACCTCCCAAACCGCATTACTAACACTTTTTCCAGTGATGTCCGCAGGTGACCTTGGCGTAAACAGCGCTGAAGTGGAAAAAACCCTAACAACCATCCTCGAAATGGTAGCAAAATGGAACGCAGTCCTCTTGTTAGACGAATGCGACGTCTTTCTCGAGGCTCGCTCCGCTCACGATTTGGAGCGAAACAAGATCGTCTCAATCTTCCTTCGAACCCTCGAATACTACGAAGGCATCCTCTTCCTCACAACCAACCGTGTAAAAAACATGGACCCTGCCTTTCAGTCACGTACGTATTTGTTTTTCTTTTTCCTCGTAGTGATTGTTTGAACGTATGCTAATCGCGTGCACAGGAATCCATATCCGCCTCTCCTATCCCCCTCTCTCCAAGTCTTCCCGGACTCAAGTATGGAATAACTTCCTATCCCGTGGCATTGCGCATGAAATCAACCCAGCGGACGTGGACAAACTCGCGGAAGTCCAGATCAACGGACGCGAGATTAAGAATATCTTGAAAACAGCTCAGTTTTTGAGTCAACACCAGGAGTTGCCATTGAGATACGACCATTTGAAGACTGTTTTGGATGTTGAGCAAGGATTTGGGGTGGAGGACTTAGAGTAGGTGAGAGAGGGTAGTTGGGGATACGATAGTGGGTAGGGGTAGTAGATGTTGGGTTGAGGTAATGAATTTTCATATCTTTTAGGGGGTGAGAATATTCTTGATTAATTAGGCTTGTGATATAATATAGCCGTAATTCTTATGTGATGTATATCTGAAAAGTATTTGTGCCCTATATTATAAACAGATCTTTATAGCAACAACGAACAAATATTTAGCCGACGACACAACTTTCTAGCTCAAATCTAGTCATTGGACTTCAAGTATCCCAGTGCTTCCTCCCCCGTTATTGCTGTATTAGACGCCCATATCTTCTCAAAAACCCCAACGCCTATCAGTGTTGGAAATGAGTTGAGTTGAGTTGAGTAGTGGCACCTACTCAACTCAACTCAGAGTACCGATTAGACCTACTCAACTCAACTCGCCAAGTACTCGAGTAACTCTGAGTACTACTTAAGTAGTACGGAGTACGCCGGACCGAGCCGGACCGAGCCTTGCCCGGGCGGTCCAACCGCTCGCATTATGCCTGCCCTCCCCTGTATAACGGTATGACCGAGGTGCATTTGAGTCGGATAAAGCCTACTTTTTCAAGGGGATATTTAGGTAGCCTTAGAAGAGTATATAAGGTAAGTAACCTTTAAAATGTAAAAAGATATTCAATAATATATTTACTAATATTTAAATAGTACTAAATTAGGGGTTCTTGATACCGAGCTCGCTGCTAGTCAAGGAACTAGGGAGTTACTGTTTATAGTAAACTAGTCTAAGTACTACTCGAGTACTCAAATCAACTACTCAACTCAACTCAACTCTAAGTAACTTTGAGTAGTACTCGAGTTGTTGAGTAGTTTATTACAACGCTGACGCCTATCTTCGTGTCCCCTATTCACGTGAAAGGTCCACCGCAATACACAAAATTCAGTAGCTAGTAATCAAGATCCTCTTCACTCAGCAATCATTCCTATTTCATTATCAAAAACCAGAACACATTCATGTCAGTGTGATCTTTCTTTGTCCTCCGTACCGCGACCATAAAATTCGCAGCAATTCCCAGCTTTATATCCCTTAGACGCATCGTATATACGTTTCAATTTTCAAGTTCAAGGCATCCACTTTTAGTCTTAGTACTCAACGTTAGTGCCACTTGAGTGGTGCCACCAGGTGCGGAGCAAGTCGTACCAAGCCCCGTAGCGCGCCTAGGCATAATTCCGACCGCTCCGAGCGCTCAAAGAGGGAATGGTAAACTCAAAAATCGAAACGTACATACGATGCATCTAAGGGATAGGCCGATACCGTCTGCGAAATCACCCCGATATCCAGCCTGCGAATCCCCTTTGCTCACTTCATATACTTCTTCACGAGAACAAATCTCTCTGAGTGTAACCTTGGTAACATGGAGGCGAGCTAGGAAACCTCCGAGTGCCTGGCGGATGTGCGAGTATTGGCTCTTGAAACGTGCGTGTCTCCAGCCGTTTCCATAAATCTCATCGAATTGGATTGTCAAATTGTCAATCTGATCAGGAAGAAACGTCGTTGCCTATCTTCAATTAACTTTGGGTTTGTTGAAGCTGTTGATGAAGCATACATCTTGGAAGAATTGATCTATGGCAATAAAGGCTTTCGGTCCCGTGTGCAAATCAATCTCGTCCCCAAACCAGTATTCATCAGTCATATCTTTTCCACTAAAATCGAATATCAGAGAATAGCATGTCCCCACGAAACAAAGGTTTACTTACAGTATGTATAGCTTCATTGGCCTACATCCAGATCTCATCAGTGGAGACAGAAATTTCAAAGACGGGTATTCCCAATGCCATCGCCTGGGGCTTCGTAGCTTATCAGCTACACACAACCACATAGAGGGCCAACGATCGTCATGTTCTTCCGGATTGGGCCCCCCGGTCCACGCTATATCGTTTGGGATCGTGGACCAAAATTCTTCCTCGGCTTTTTCATCCGCAACAAGACTCTTATGAGATTCCTCCCAGTTCTCATAAAGGACAGAAAATGCCTCTGACCAATCAAACGACAACGACGGGCGGAGAACTAGAACACAACGCTGCATTCTCATGTAGAAGAACTGGTGATAGAGTCCTCTCTCCGGAATAAGGGCTAGCTCCAAGGGCGGAAGCTGCTTATCCACGTTATAGCGAAGTCCTTTTAAGTGATCATCGTAGTCTCCGCCGTAAATCCTTCCAAAGTATAAAGGTTCAAGATCATCCTCGATAAAGATATGACCATTTCGCCAAAATGTTGATGTATTGATGTGGTACTTCAGAACATCTTCGAAGATCGGGTGGAGAAGTTCGTAGGGTAGTAGGTTCAGGTAGCAATTCATTGGCCAATCCCGTCGGTAGACACGCTCAACTTGATCCATGACCATATCGTGGGTTGATTCGACAATGAGATCCGATGATGAAATAATAGTAGACTTATCCCTTGTCTCCCATAATGGTGAGTTCCGGCCAGGTGTATGATAGTCACCGCAAACTGCTTCACTTCCGATTGATGCTTAGATACTTGAGTTGTGGACTTGAAAATCTGGAGCATCCTCCATGTTGTTTGATGCCCGACGTAGATCGCGAACCTTCGTGGGCTTCACACCCGACGTCCCTGTAGAGTCCATGCTGGCAGCAATGGTGTTGTAAGAAGAAGGTGTGAAGGAGTGAGTCTGAGATTTGTTGGTGATTGTGTTGTAAGAAGGTGAAGAAGAGAGTCTGAGACTCGCAGTACAAGTATAACATATGTTCGCGCGAGTGTTTTATCACGTGCTAGAGAATTCACCCATCTACATAAGGTCTATGTAATAGATACCTTTATAAAATTACCACTTAGTTCTTTGCTACTTTAACTTACTACTATCTTTAACCTATATAAGGTATTAAGCGAGTAACAAATAACCTAAATAAACTATATAAACTAAATCTCTAGAACATCTAAAGGTTTATATATAAGTAAAGATCCCTAAGTTCCTCTTACTAGCTCTTATTCTCGCTATTAATTATATATAATTATTCTTAAATATACTAATAAGTTATTCTAAATATACTCTATTTATATATACGGTAAACGATAAAAATGCTACCTAATTAATTAATAACAACAAAAATACTACCTAATTAATTAATAACAACAAAAATACTACCTAATTAATTTTTTAGCGACAAAAATACTACTTATATACTACTTATTTTTTTCATATAGGTTTTATATATAAATTTAATAAACATAGAACAAGTAGTATATTTGTCGGAAAATAGCGGTATTTATATTCGCTTTCTAGATATCCTAGTAGCTAAAAGCATAGTAAGTTGCTAGCGTATTTACTAGCCTAATTCGTTAATCAAATCGTATATAATATACTATCTAAGGACAATACTCCGTACTATCGCCTACCTAGTAGCGGCTATAAAGTTAACGATATAAAGTTAGTTAGAATACCTATTCCGTAAGGAGAGGGCTTAATAATAAGAAACCTAGAATAAGGGTGTAAGGAATTAAAGATATTACTTAGGAATAAGTAATTAAGGCTAATAACTAGGATTTAGACGTAAACGTAAGGTAAGGGGGTAAAATAACTAGGCTTAACTACTACTAAAATCAATAAGAATAGGCCTACGAGGTATTAGGAAGTAACGAGTAGTTAGCTAGTTTACTTTATTTATTATTTTCTAGGTATCTTACTTATTAAATCCGATAAAGAAATAAAATCTCTATACTAACGAAAATACTACCCATTTATAACAAAACTACTACTAACAATATAGATATTACTTTACTAATAATTTTACTAGTAAACTAGTAACGTAGTATATAGGTAGTATTTTTATTACTAAAAAATTAATTAGGTAGTATTTTTATCGTTTACCGTTATATATAATTAGTAGCTAAGGTGTTAGGTTATTACTAGTACTTAGCTATAGATTATAGTAAGAGTATTAGAGCTACTATTACTAGAGATATAGTTTTTATTACAAAGTATCTATAGATAAACCCTCTCCTATTAAAAGGGGGCACTAGCTATAGTATTCTAAATCTACTACTAAACTAGATAACTAAATCATAAATCGTAAAAGTTACTTTTAAGGTAATCTAGTATAATACTCTCGTCTCGATATAGATTTTTCCCTCGTTTCTCGGATCTCTAAAAGATTACTTCTAAGGTTATTTTATAGAAAATCGTAAGTTATAAATTATAAAGTAGCTTAGGGTTAGGGTTATATACTAGCGCTAGAATTAAAGGTAAAACTACTCAATATAAGTAAATAAGCTTAAATCTAACTTAAATACTTCTACCCTCGAATTTATTTTAAACGAGCCTTTAACTTTACCTTTCCTCCCTTTATATAAACCTCTTTTACTACTAAATAATCTTTTTAACTACTATTACTACTACGACCTTTACTTATAAACTTAATAAAGAAGAAGGAGGAGAAGGCTCTTACCTTTAATCCTATACTATAGATATTATAGCCTTGTAGGTTACTCTTATATTCTATTTTATACTATAAATATTATATATTACTACTATTAAAAAGAAGTATTAGAAAAAAAAAGAAGAGAAAGTAAAAGAGAAATAAGAATAAGTAAGTAAGTATTTACTAAGAGATACTAAATAATTATTAGTATAATATATACTAGCTTACCTATTTTAAAAAGGTAGTATTTAAGACTAGAATAAATAATATAAGTTATACGAAAATATTTCTTCGCTTTTATTTTCTTCGCTACCCTTTCTCTTTCTCTCTCTTCTAAATAATATACTAGGGTATAACCCTTATATAATAGCGAGGATATAATAGTAGGGTAGGTAATAGTAAGGGTAGAAGTATTAAAGTATTAGAGTATAAGTATTTATATTAGTATAAGTAAATACTACTTAAGGCTACTTACGTACTATACTTAGTACTAAGTACTACTATGTAATAGTAGTAGTACTTATAATACTTTTATTTAGTATATATAACTAATAGTCTTTATAATATAATATATTTAATACTAAACTATTAGCCTTATATTATACTTTCCTTATTTATCTTTCGGCTCTATTAACTTAGAGGTAAACTACTACTAATTAATATAAGCGCGCGTATAGATTAAATAACTTTAATTCCTCGACGCTAGATATTAAAGCTATTATAATAGTAAAGTTTCTATCTTTTACCCCCAGGATTTTGATATAAATTTATTATTAGCTAGGTATTTAGAAATAGAACTAATACTAATATAATAGGTACTTAATATAACGAATACTCAAACTGGCTAACTAAACTTGGCTGGGTGTTCGCTGGTTGGTATGCTATGATAAGAAGAAGACTATCGGGTTGTTCACTTGGAAGTGAACTCGTTACTTGTATCAAAGATGTCAAACTAATATGATAAGATTGATAACTAAGTTGATAACTAAGTTGAGCACGAAGCTCCTATCTAATGGCAGACGTGCCAGTCTTATATAGAACCTTCATCCTCATGATCGCTGCTGGTCGCTCGCGACCAAACGACCATTACTGGTCACGTGATATAATTGCTATGAAATCCCTGGATCGCTTAGCTAACCTAAGCATCCCTATCTGCTATAAGTATTCTGGTAGTGCTTGACCTGTCAGGACGCCGCCTGGTCTTCGCTAACCACGTGCTAACACGTGATTCGTGACATTCCGCTATAGAAGTAGGTAATTTTTTTAAATAGTATACTAGGTTATAAGATATATATCTTATCTACTTTTAGGAATCCCTTTTTAAATAATTTATATAGGCTTAATATTACGAATTTAATGGGTAATACTAAATATACGGTCTTAGATCTTTATAATATCCTAGCGTTATACTATAAGGTAGCCCGCTAGCGATTTGTTAATATTATTTATATATAGGCTATCGAATACTATTTAATCTCTAGACTAATAACTCTATTAAAGCTTTACTCGCCTACTAATAAGTAAACAAAGTAATTTATAGGACAGGACTGTCACGATTACGAAATCGTCAGGTGACATTTGGGACCATGGGCCCAGACAGCACTTCGCTGACAGGAGAAACCATTGGTATTTAACCAACAGAAAGGATCGGGTGGCTGCGTCAGGCTAGCCAGACGATCCAAGGAATTTCTCAGCAACCAGAAATCACGTGACTATATCGACTTGATCGAAATCGATAAAAGCGATGATCGATTTTATCGATAGCGATGGTAGCGATATATTGGGAACGAAGGTTCTATATAAGACTGGCACGTCTGCCATTAGATAGGAGCTTCGTGCTCAACTTAGTTATCAATCTTATCATATTAGTTTGACATCTTTGATACAATGTGACAGTTTTTGATTTAGTGAATAAGGGTTCGCTTAGCGAAGTTGCGGGTGTACCCTTCCGTAGATAGACGAATACCTAAGGAGTGCGAAGAGCGTCTCTCTTCCCTCCTTGCGAACAATCTATTCCTTGATCCCCACCATAACATACAAGTAACGAGTTCACTTCCAAGTGAACAACCCGATAGTCTTCTTCTTATCATAGCATACCAACCAGCGAACACCCAGCCAAGTTTAGTTAGCCAGTTTGAGTATTCGTTACATATAATACTTAGTAAAATATTAGAGGCTATAGTAAAAGGTATTGTAGTAATACTATAGATCTTACTAAATAAGGTAATACCTTATAAATATATTATAGAGTAAGTATATAAACCTATAATATTAAGCTTATAATATTAAACTACTAAAGAAAAAAAAAGAGAAAAAAAAAGAGAAAAAAAAGAAAAGAAAAGAAAAAAAAATTATAATATTATAATAAAAACTAAGTTAACTAAGTTAACTAATATATCTTTTATACTAAAGATAACCTAAATCCTAAGATACTTAATCACTATATAACTATATAAGTCTTTTAGAAATATCTAAGAACTATAAGAAAGAAGATTATAGTACCTAGTAAAATAGTAGAGGCTATAGTAAAGGTATGATAGCAACGCTATAGATCTTACTAAATAAAATAATACTTTGTAAATATATTATATAGTAAGTATACAAACCTAGGCAGGACGCTAAGCCTACTATATCAAACTGTAAAAGAAAAAAAAAAAGAGAAAAGAAAGAGAAAGGGAAGATGAAAGAGAAGAAGAGGAAAAAAAGAACCACAGTTACCACAAGAAAAGAAGAAAAAAACCAGAGGAAGATCACAGAAAGCAAGAAGTAATTCAAAACACATTCCTCAACCCATCTTTCCCTTCCTTACGGTATCACTAGCCAGTTCGTACGACAAAAGCTACAGAGAAACCCCCACATAACCCATCCAAGGTCACCTGCCTATCGTACAAGAATACAGGAAACCTCCATCCCGTCCACCTTCTCCAGCAACCAGCAAAAGCATTTGGTATCATAAAAACGCCACCCCATCCTATCCATCATAACCGACAGCAACCATCAATGTAGTAGCAACGCTATATAATATGAGTAAAAAGAGAAAGAAAAAAAGCCTCCACCGAGCAAAACATGCAGCCACCAACAATTCTAGTAGTACATCAGGTGTAATTTAGTACACGCTCTGTTTAAATTATCCTCACAAACGTATTAAAGTTAATCATCAATCCACCGTCCCGTAATGACACTTTGGAAAACCTCCTTATCGACCAACATGCGCACCTTGGTTAGAGGCAGAGCAGAGGCAGGGGCAGATGATCCGCGCTTCTTCTTCTTTCCACCGGCAGAAGTAAACAAGGCTTTTTCAGTGACTTGGGTATTTCCGTAGCAGAAAATGAAATCCCACGCCTGGCCTTCGGCCTCGTGATCCTCTAGATGTTTTCTGGCTTCAGTGATAGAAGATACTTGCATGTAGCGGGCCGGACCTGAAGCTTGGAGCAGGAATTCAATCGTTTTGCCTCTTTGGGCTTCGGATTCGGCTCTCGAGGCAATGGTCATAATGGACTTTCCATGGAAGACTTTGGTTCTGCCTTCAAGGGTAGAAGCCAAATCCGCTAATTCTGCTGGGTAGGAAGAGATTTTGCGGCTCACATGCGCGTCATTCAGATACTCCACTTTGCCACCGCAGAGAAGGTATGGATACCATTCCATAATCTTTCCCTTGGCGACGCAGGCCAATATCCATTGCCCTGAGAGACACGGTAAGCCAAGTGCGAGCGCTTCGAGATATTTGGGCTTTCTTGAGAAATCGTCGGCGATGACCGCAGCAAACTTGAGACCTCTATTCTTTTTGTTCAACTTCGTCTCGAACCCACTCTCTTCCTGCTGTGTTGTGAACAAGCTCGTAAAGCCAGGCTCAAGGAGCCTACCGCCTTGTTCTTCAATACACTTCTTCACTTTCTCTTTCTCCTTCTCGTTTTTGGGGTCGTACGAAACAGCAAACACCATTTTTGAGAACAATCCAGAAGTTGCCTTGCCACTAGTGAAAGCGGATGGTAATGACAATGGATCTACGCTTGATGATCTGCTTACGCACGCTAGTGATCGACGCTTCGATGACCGGGTAGGCTCCGAGGTTTCCTCGAGACCAATAGCTTTCCGCTTGGGGTTTCGTTTCAGTTCGATGGCTTTTGGTGCCTTTTCTGTAATAGGCCCTGGCTTCACCGACGACGATCGGGTAACTGAGGTTCGCATGCTGGAAGCAGGGCCCTTTACAAAAGGGGTTGACTGCGGTGTTTGGAATGCTCTTGATGAAATAGAAGATAATTCCGAGGATGTAGTAGATAGCGCGCTGGGGGTTGGCGGTGCAACTTTTGCTAAAGATCTTCTGGTGGCTCTTTTTTTGACTTGAACCGGAGGTTCCTTGATATTTTCATCCACCATCGAACTGTCAAGGTGGACTGTGTCCGCGTCGTCAACTTCCGCGTCTCCTAAAGCTGGATTGTCGTCCGCCTCGTCTGCTATATCTTGTGGTGCATTATCAGGTACGAAAAGGGGCCCATCGTCTATTACTACATCCTGTTGTGGGTTTGAAATTTCAGCATTTTCAACACGCCCAGTGGGTGGAACATTATCAGTAGAAGCAGAGCGATCAAGGCTGATATTCTCTGCAGCCTGTACGGCCTCCGTGCGTGTCTCGGCGGCCATCGCAGTCGCAGATGCTTGCGGTTGCGAACTCGTCACAGAATTGGGTTGGGATCTCTTTCTGGTGGCGGGGACCACTTTCTTCGGCGAAGAAGCATTCATTTTTAGTACTGCTTCAGATGCAGCATCTTGAGAAAACCCAGGAGGTGTCGACATGTCTTCCCCCCGGTCTGTGGCAAATGAGACTCCAATATCCCCAATTGGACGTAAATTATGCTCTGGAAGCGGGCTGGTTTCTGGTATGGCCAATTGCTCGCTTCCAGAGGATAGTTGCGCCTTTATAGAGGTTGACTCCGTGGTTGGATTTGCACATAGTTCTCTCAGAGGTAGATCCAGCTCGTTATGTGGATGCAAAGAGACTGGCAGAGCTTGGGTAGACGGGTGACTTGAATTATCATGGTGACCTTCATAAACGGGTGTAGTGGCAGGAAAAGTTGGTGGTAGTTGGTTTTCTGAACTGAGTTCTGGCATAGCCTCTCGAGCAGCTTGGGTAGGTGGTAGACTTGAGGTTGAGTTAGACATAGCAAGCGGCTCCTCGGAACTGGTTTTAGCGACCAGTTCAGCAGTAACAGGGACAACAGCTGATGCCAACTTGTTATCGAGGTTAGCTCCTGGTACAGCTGCTACGGGAGCTTGGGTAGACGGTAAGCTGGAAGTTGACTCCTGCTTCGAGCTCTGTTCAGGGGTGGCATCAACGCCAAGCTGAAGAACATGTCCGTCCGTCTCATTGCACGAACCTTGGGTTGTCGCAGCAGATTGTGTTGCAGCAATAGCTTCATCTGGAACAACCTGGTCCAATTCAGTTCTCTCCATCGGGGGAGCACTGGAATGACGTGGCGGGGATGATGGTGCCTGAGAATCCGCGATATATTCATCCTTTTGCTGAGTATCTCGTGCATCAAAACCATCACATTGTGCTACATAATCCTCCTGCAGACTCCGTCGACGCCTACCAGTGGAGGGTACCTCGATAGCTGATGTGTATGATGAAGACGGTGGTTCAGCAAGTTTCGGTTTTCTGTGTAAACTTATCGTGACCTTTGACAATTGCTCGGCGGCGTGCTTGTGTATTGCTCTGCTTCTATTGGGCTTTTCAGCTTCTATATCAGAATCGTCACTACTCAATTCATAACGTTGTGGTTCCCGCTTCTCCTGGCTCGCTTTCATTGAGTTGTATCTGCGAGGTTCGGGTTTCTGGTTCGAAAACTTGGACGTATCCAAGGAAAGGCCGAACGTGGGAAGGGGTGATTCATTGATAGTTTGTGAAAACAAGGGCGAAGGTTGATTCGGAGTATCCTCAATCATTTGTTGTCGCTGGACCAAGGGAGAGTCGATGGCCTGGAAATGCAACGGAGTTTCGTTAAAGGCATTTGGAGAGGGCCGTGACGAAGTTGGACTTGCCATATAGCGGCCAATCGAAGATGGCTGTGTGGCCTCAAACATGACCTGTTCCTTCAGAACACTTCCCTTATTCTTGAAGGGATTGGTCGGTGGGGCTGGAGTTTGGGGGGGTGCTAAAGGCTGAGAAGAGAATGGAATCGGAGCAGCATATGATGCATCCTGAGATTCAGGCTCTTCTCCCTCCCTTTCGCTCTCTTGTGCCAGACCAAGCATAATGTGTCCCGTGTCGTTCTCGTCGTAGGTATGAGGGGTATGGTTGGAGGGCGACTCTCTCGCATCCTCGTAGACATTTGCAGAACTGCGTAATTGTTCCGCCGCGGCATATTTTTCAAAAACTGAGGCCGAGTGCTCTTGCGTCAAGGAACTCTTCTGCGTGTTGTTCATCATGCCATCGCGATCCATCCTGCCTTTCCGACTCGGGCTTCCGCGGGATGGTGGTTGGATTCTTGCGGGTAGCTGGAATTGAGCCTGCGCATCGCGTTTGAAATGGAAAATTTGATCGCGAATAGGAGGACTCGATCTCACATCGTTCTCGCATGCAGCCGAGGGTTTTGATGTTTCTTTTACGCTGTCGGCATCTACATTCGCGTTCAATGATCGTTGTCGCGCTTGGTGGTCCTCATAGGGCGCAAGCTTGGGATAGCTGTCAATGGCAGCGGATAATGGAAGCGCGTGTTTCCTAAACGCGCCAATGGCGACAGCAGATTGTTCAGGTGTGGTGTGAGCAGGCGATGGAGTGCGTTGTGGAAGAGGGCTGCTCTGCTTGACAGGAGAACTGGAGGCCTTGAGGCGATATCAGCAGCTTTCTACGGAGTACCTTCTGAAGGTGAGGGTGAAGGTGAGGGTGAAGGTGAAGGTGAGTCTGTGCCACCCCGGGAAATGGGTGATGGCTGCGATAACGGATAGCTGCAGCTGCTGCTTGCTGCAGGCGGGCGAGCAGGAAAAAGAACTTACCACCAAAACCTGGTCCTGCCACACGTCACACTCCTGAGTATCGAAATCCTCAGTATTGGCACCTCTTCCTTCCATGGCAGCTTCTACTGCAGCTGCGAGAGTGCGGTGTGGCATCTTTCCATATGGATGTGCGGATGACACCGTCGGCTTGGCTTTGTCGCGTGTTCACGCGGATCAATGGATTTCGCGTTCAGTGGGCTGGAAGTGGGGCTGCGAAAGGCGTCTGTATGGAGAATGCAGATGAGGATCCCCTGAACACCCTGAAGGGTCCAGATGTTGCCATATATTTTGGTCGACAAGAAAGATTGGGGATGTTTGTGAGAGAATGAGATGAGGAGGTGGCTGGAAAGAAATAGAGGTAGGTAGCACCTTCCACGGCTAAGATCTATACTCCGTAGTAGCACTTGGACTTGTGCTTGCAGCAATGGTAACTGACTCAAGGCTCTTGCTCTTTGTACTTCACTCATCCTCTCACCTGTGACTTCATTGGGAAGGAACGATCCTCTGAAGCCCAGCAATGCACAAGCTGTCTAGGTAATGTTGGTGAATTCGGCCTGAATAAAGGGTCCTACCTTCACTGCACAACAAGGGATTGAACTTCACAAGCACAGAAATGTCAATGATGTTGAACTGTGCCTTCCCAGTCTTTTGCTTGTTGTCCATCCTTTCAGACAAGCATTACATTGACGTATTTGGTATCATACACTCGTCATTCTGTACTTCTATTATCCTACAAGCCTCGCGTAACTAAAATCATTGTGTAAAGGGCTCAGAATAAATGTTTCCGCTGACTTTATATTAGCCGAGGTATACTAAGACGATTATTTTACTTGTACTAGAAGTTTGGTATAATAACCTTTTATATAGTGTATACAGAGTAATGACCAGGTACCTGAAATTTCTTTCTTTTATAGGACATGTCATGATCCATTTTCAACGAGAAATTCGACTGAGGATTTTGCGGGTTTATGGTATAAAGATATTCTTTCAATACTTTCCCTGAAGATTTCTCATCCATTTTTGGGTTACATTCGTTCCTTTGGTCCTGAATTTCGATTCAAGATCTGCTGGAGAGAAAACGAGGGGATTCCAGCAGCATTTTATTTGGTAGAAGAGATGTGCAATGTACAGTACTCCGCATAGGTTGTTCAAATCAGCTCTTCATTCTCGTTATTTCGATATTTACTCTCTAAGAAATGCTAGAACCCATACGCACATGTTCAACAGACCTCAGAATAGGCATTCAACGCCAATTGTCCTCCAAGGTGTGCGTACAAAATCTTTCCCTTGATCTCTCCCTTTTTGATCATATCCATCATCCCGGCCAAACTCTTTCCCTCATAAACAGGATCAGTAATGAACCCCTCAGTCTGCGCACCAAATCGCATAGCATCGATTGTCATTTGCTTTGGAATTCCATAACACCCATCATGATACCTCTCATCCAATTCAATGTCTGCTTCCGTGATATCCTCATCCTTCAATCCAATTTTCACACCTGTGAACTTTGCGATTCGAAGACATTGGGCTCGAGTCTCGGCTGGTTTGGCAGAGGCGTCTATTCCAATAACTCTTCGATGAGGAACACCATGTTTGAGCTCAAGAAGTTTGAATCCAGCAATCATTCCTACATCTCAAATCAGTTCAAAAATCCCACTTTTAAACGTGAGAAATGAAGCTTACCGGCAAAAGTGGATCCAGTAACAGCACAAACCAGAATATTGTCAAAGAAAACACCTAATTCCTTCTCCTGGGCATGAACCTCAAAAGCCCATCGAGCAAATCCCAGACCACCAAGTGGATGATCTGAAGCTCCTGCTGGGATGTAATATGGCTTTCCACCCTCGGCAATGACTTCTTTGGTCAGGGAAGCGAGAGTTGGTTTATGCTCGATACCGAAAGTTGAAGGGTCAAGAATTGGTGCTGCTCCCATAAGCCGGGAGAGTTGAATGTTTCCCACTTTCTCGTACCCTGGATCGCTCCATTCTACCCAGTGTTCTTGTACTAGTTTAGCCTAGAGCTCAATATTAGTCCCAGTTCACTTCGGTGAGTAAAGCAGAAGGAATGAATACTTTGAGTCCAACTTTTGCAGCTACTCCTGCTACTTGACGGGTGTGATTCGATTGAACTCCCCCAATACTGATGAGAGTATCACATCCCTGCTCGAGAGCTTCAGGTACGAGATATCTATATTTATTAGAAAACCAAATCATGTAACAGGATGAAGAACCCACTCTAGTTTTCGAGTCTTATTACCCCCAAATGCTATTCCAGAATTGCAGTCTTCTCTCTTTGCCCATACGTCAACTTTCCCACCTAGAGCTTCGGAGATTCGAGGAAGTGCGTGAATTGGAGAAGGTCCGAATAGGAAATCCGACTTTGGAATACTGGCAAAGGGTTCTGGAAGAGTAACGGTGACCATTTTGAAGTTGGAATTGCAGGTCCAAGACGTTTTGGAGCTTGGGTTTTGATTTCAGTTTTGGGTCATCGATGGCCTGATGAGGACTCGAAGTAAATAGTATGGTAGTTGCCCGACGCCAAGCAGCCCCCATTTTCATCTGTAAGCAATCTACAAACTGCCGATTTCGGTATGCAAGGTTGCGGGTATCTACGGCAAGAGCTGTTAGTTACTCAAAGAAGGCGCGTAGAGTGCGGCCAAGAGCTTCCAGCAAGATTTTCTCAAAGGTGGGATGCATGCTTGGGTAAATGTAAACCAAAAATGGCACGAATAGAAGCTTAGTATGAACTCCATTTAGAACTCTAAAAACGTGCTGCGAAGCTGTTACAGTTCAAACTGTCTATGGAATAGGGACAAAATGTTCGCCCTAGTTGCCCGAGGAGGATAGTGCATCCCAGAACTTCTCCCGTAAAGGCATGGCAATCCCGGATTTTACCCTACTTCCATTATCCTCTCCTTTCCACGCGTAATACTCGGCAAATCGCAGTTGAGCATAACATATGGAAAGGAGCATCAGTGTTAATATCAGCTTTCTTCGGCGTAGAGAAAGAACCAAGTAAAGTATAACTTCGAGCATGAAAAGTCGAAGTGGGCAGCGATAACATACCGTGGTAATCAAAGTCTACTTCTCCCGAGTGTGAAGGGTGTTGAATGAGTGCGCATAAGCCCCTATAGCAGGCAGTCAATAAGATTCTATGTACCATATAAAAGAGGGCGCAAAATTTGGCATAGACAATCACAGTGCGAACGAAAAAGACTAGACGTAATCTTACCAATAAAACCCAGGAAACCCTCGCCAAGAATCCACCTCAAGTGTCAACTTGTTAACAGCCTTTTCTAAGTCCGGAAGCTTCTTTTCGTCGCCTTGTGATATCTCATTCCTCCTCACCAGGTATGCCTCAATGAAACTTCTACGACATTCTCGGGTCTCGGGAGGGAAGTGATTCGTAATTACAAGCGAAACCAGCCCATTCTGAAAAGTGATTTGCGAGCTCGAAAGCCGGTGGAGCAAAAGTAGAATGTCTGGTACGAGTGTTAGTAATATCTAGACGAGCAATAGCAAAAGTGGAGAAGTTTACTCATAGTCAATGAAGCTCACGCTGAGACCATTGGATTTAGATGAATCTGTAATCACAATATTGGCATGGAGAAGATCACCGTGGGTGAAGACCATCTATCTAGGTCAGAAGTGAACGGGTAATGAGCCTGAGGGTGAGATTAGGGAATTAAGTCTTAATGTGATTAATGCAGAGATATACTGTGAAAAAGTGAAATAACGCATAATTATGCCAACTTACTTCCTGACCACCACCTCCATGAAGTCTTTGCAGCAGATATGTAAACTCTTCTGTCAGATTCTCCTTGGTTACTTTCTCTGCCTCCGAAGCCTCAGGAATAGAGTTAAGCCATTTCTGGGCCGTAATCCAAACATTGGGCTGGATCAAGAGATCACTCGGCAAGACTGACTCGAATTGTATTTTCGGTGATCTCGGGTCCAACTTAGGAAGGTAGCCATGCCAATTTGCAATTTCTTGGGCGACACAATACCCGATTTCCTTTTGTGGTAGCTCTTCAAGCGAGCATATCCTACCATCAACAAAAGGATATGCATGCCCATTGCTGAAACGTACCAGTGGTGCCGGGGCTAGCTTGTGTTCCGCGAGTACGCAATGGAAAGAAAGCTCCTCTGATGTAATGTCAGACAAGAAGTTGCTTATCGGATTTATGGAGACAAACTTTCGCGGTCTATGGTGATATCGGTTCCTGAGCCATATACCTTGATCAGGACACTGGCGTCGACATCGCGAGAACGGTGGGACGCTTTGAAAAGCTGGAGGCGTCAGCTCTGCTTGGTACAGTAAGGGTCTGAGACATGACTTGCTGAATTTGTGGTGCCCTCGGTCAATTTAGTAATCTCCAAGTTTGAATTCGTGGGTGCCCAGTCCGGAAAAAGGGCTGGTGCAAGAATTCGCGTGCAGGTATCGATCGATGAGGTTTGAAAGTGATGGTCGATGAACGGAATCTTCTTACAAGTACTGTCCATTGCGGATTGACGATTGTTGATAGAATAGAAGTTTATTATAGAAATACTCTTGCAAACATATCTTGGAGCAAGTAACCAGATGGGAATCTGTTTAGAAAACTACGAGGAAGAGAGGAACATAAAGCGGTGAGGTGTGAATTTGAGAACCCTGTTGGAACCTGCAGCAGGTTTCTTTTTTCTAAGCAACGATCGCAGGCCATCGTGATGCTTGCTTCACGAGAGCATCCATAGGCGCTCACAGACTTTTTTCTCAGCCGTACAATATCCAACAATATCGCGCTGGTATATCGACTAGGAGAGAATAGGAATATTATGGCCACTTCTGAACAATATAGCAGAGGCAAGATAGAGTATTCGAACATTTGGAACCAAATTACCCAAATACTATAGGAAGCAAAGGACTTCAAGTAGACCTCTAAATAAACTTTCGCCAAAGTTTAAGTTTACGATTAAGCGAGATCCCCCTTTCTTTCACCTCCTTTAAACATCTCTACCAATTTCGAACTAGCCTATTCTCATTCCCATACACGAGCCTATAACATTATCACTCCCCCACTCCGTCCAAATTTTAATACGTTAATAATCGAGAGCTTTAAAGATATCATAATGGAAATATGATTATTTACTACCGGAGCCTAACTTCTTAGCACGACTACCACCGCCCAGAGCTCCTCGAAACGGCTAATGGGCATTCTACCAAGTTCGTATTTTCTAAGGCGACTTTCAGTGAAATCAAAGAGGGGTTTGTTGAACAAACTGGCATCAATCCTGGGTTCCAAGGTTAAGACGGCATGGTAATGTCACGTGATGTGCCTCGAACAGCTAAAAAAAAAGTAGCTTAGTTGAATACTTGCTGAGAAGGGTTTTGCCGGTCTTACTAATAATAGCTTGTTTTCTCATGAATTAATGCTATTCACTATGAAATAGGGAAGTAGGCATCCCAAGGTCTGCCTTCTGTTATTATCACGTGTTCGCCTACGATTTTAGATAAAAATCCCAATTGGAATAGGCAGATGGGCATTTATTTCAGAGAAATCGATTGAAGATAAGTGACAATTAGAATGTGATGAAGACCAGAGTACCACCCAAACCACAAGCAACGCCATAACCCAAATCCTAATAAAACATCAGTTCTTGTAAGGGTGCGATAGCGACAAGGTCAACTGTATGCGTAAGAACTAAATTGTCTACAAAGAGTGGAAGTGATCGTAAGATCTGAGGCTATTTACAGTTCCAAGGGCACTGGCCACATCGCTTCCTCCACGTCTGTACCCTCACATATGGTCCCTCCTTACTCCAATTTCTCGGCTTCTTTCTCTTGTGATTCGCGGGCTTTGGTAATCTCAGCTTTCGTAGGCTTCAACTTACGTGGGAAACGCTGCTCAAAATCTTTGATAGAGGCCACAGCATTGACTATATGAACTAAGGGTTCCCATGTCTGATCATCCGGGTCATAGCCTCTCCATCGAACTAGGTATTTGAATACTCCTTTGACTCGCTTAGCATCCAATATCTCATCAATGGACCACAATTCATGCCCGGAAGTGTCTACAAACAAAGGGGGTGTAGGTTTGTTTTGTTGCCCAGGGAGTGGTATGCCAGCACTAGGTTTAAGGTGATTAGTGTGGAAAACAGGATGAATAGACTGGAGTTCGTAAGGAAGTCGTAATTTGTATGCGTGTGAGTTGATTATTCGTTCAATTGGGAAAGGTCCTATGAATTTAGCGTCGAGCTTTGGAATAGGTTTTGAAGAGTCAATGTTCTTGGTGCTTAGTAGGACCATGTCGCCCACGCGATACGCCGGTGCTGCTCTCCTACTAGTGTTGGCGAAGCTTTCTTGCGAATCGCGAGCTGTAATAAGATTGGTGTGTAGTAGTTTCAAGATATCTTCCATCTTGTGTGCAAAGTCTGACGCGTCCTTATGGCGAAGTTGGCGATGTTCCGAGGCGTTACGAGGAAGCACTCTTGGAGGTCCAAAACTCATTCTGGGGTGGTAACCATGATTGGCAAAGAAAGGCGATATACCAGTAGATGAGTTCACCACATTACGCATAGCGAATTGAGCCATTGGCAAAAGCTTTACCCAATTCTTTGGAGCAGCGTCAATGTACTGTCGGATGAATGTATTTAGTTCCTTGTTCGCGATTTCTGTCTGACCATCGGTTTCTGGCTGGTACGCTGTTGACAGTAGTAGTGATATTTGAAGGATATCGCAAACGGATCTCCAGAATTCAGAAACAAATGTCGGGCCTCTATCTGATACAACAGAGTCTGGTAAACCATGAAGCTTCCAAACTTCTCTAATGAACAGGCGAGCTAGGTCTACCGCTGTCATTGACGTGTGGAAAGGAATAATATGTTTGTCCTTAGACAGCCTGTCCACTACTACCATGATCTGATTAAACCCATCTACTGGCATAATTGGTCCAATAAAGT